AGGTTTAAAAAGATTTTAATAAATATAAAAACTAAGGGTTTAGTATTTTTTTAATTATTTAAGGGGTTATATACTTAATATTTAAGGTAATTTTTAATTTACCTTTTATTTAATACCTTATTTTATTAAGTATAAGGTTTTTAAATTAATATAATATTATAGTTACTTTCTTTTATTAGTAATAAAGTAATATCTTAGTATAAACTACTTTTTTTAATATTAGCTTAAAAGATTTTAAGGCTAGTATTCTTTTAGTAGTTATAATAGGACCTGCTATTTATAGGCTTATGTTAAAAGGTTTATTAGTTTTAGGGGGGGTATTAAGTATATTTTTATTACCTTTAGTTTTTTTTTTTTTATTACCTAAGCTAGTTATATAAACTACTAACTTAGTAGGGGAGGTTTTTTTATAAAGATTTTCCTTATTTAAGTTAACTTTAATAATAACCTTTTTAACTAAAGCTTAAGGGAGGAAGGGTAAAGTTAAGCTAAAGATTAATAACCTTATATAAGGGTTTATTTAAGTCTTTAAGTTAAATATTTTTTTAATATTAAGGACTAAGGCAGGGGCAGGTTTAGGTTTAAGTAGGTTAGCTTTATTATATTTTTACTAGCTTAATTTTTAAATTACCTAAAGTTAGGCTTTAGTTATTTATACTTTTTCCTTATTTTTAATAATTAATTTAGTAAAATACTTTAGGAAGTCTACTATATAAAAGCTATTATAGTTAATATATTAAAGTAAAAATAAGTAGTTAGTTATAGTATTATTATATTTAAAAAATAATTTACTATATTTATAATACTTTTTAGTCCTAGTGTAATTTTATAGGTTATAAAACCTAAAGTACTATAAGTATTAGGTAACCTAAAGGAGCTAGACTTAGATTTCCGCTAGGAAAAAGCTACTAAAAAGTTTAAAGCTAGGTTTAACGTCTTTATTAAAAAAAATAAAGTAGTTATATATATTAAAGGATTCTTTAAAGTTAGCTTTATAGTAGGAGATAGGTAGGTTTTTAGCCTCTGCCTTAGTATATACCTTTTTTAAAATTAGTATATTTATAGGGTAGGTCCTGCTTATATTAGTATATATTTTTAATATACTATATATAAAAAAAATCTTTTATAAATATACTTTTTTAATTTTTAAATTATTATTTTCTATTACTAGCTAAAGTATAATAATTTTATTTTTAATATTTTAATTCTTACCTCTAAAGGTGAAGCTTAATTAAACCTTTTAAAAGTAAGTAATATTTTTATTTATAAACTTTAAAATCTTAATTAATTCTTATTTAGCCCTAATAGCTAATAGCTTTTTCTATATATAGTTTAAGGGAATTTAAATAAAAATATAGTTATTAAGGCTTTCCTTAGGTTTATTAATTTTATTTATGTTTTTTTTATTAATAATAAAGGCTAGCCTTTTACTACTTATAAAGGAATATTTTAGGTTATTAATTCTTTTTTAAGGGTTTTTATTATAAGTATTTTTTTATAATATAATTTATACTTATGTAACCCTAAGGTCCTTTTAGCCTGCTTTTTTAATAAATATAGGAGCTTTTACTATAGTAGGGGTTTTAGTAATATTTAATTTATTTTTTTTATTATAAAATATATTAGCTAATATTATTTTAATTAATTAAGTAGCTTTTTTTTTATTACTTAATTTCTTAAGGTTTTTAAGCTTTTCCTTAGGGTTAATATAAAAGATAATAAAGTTTTTAAAAGTAGTATTTAAATATAAGTAAATTTATTTTACTATTACTAAAGAAAGCTAGGAGGTATATTACGCTAAGCAAAAGTTAATAATTATAATTATATTTAATATTATATCTTATTTAACCTACTATTATATATTAATTTTATTAATTTAATTTATAATTTTATTTTTAGTAAAAGATTTCCTTTTTTTATTTAAATTAGTAGCTTTTTTTATATTATTAAAAATAAAGGTAATAAAGTTTTTTAATGCTGTCTACACTATAGTTACTATTTCCGCTATACTTAGTTTTACTTTATTAAAACTAGGCAAGGGTATTTTATCTACGCTAAGGGCTTTTCTAAAGTAATTTTTTTTTTTAAAGGTAAAAGGGAGGACTATAACCTCTTTTATTTTTAGGCCTAAGGGGGTTACCTCCTTTAATAGTTAAAAGGTTATTACTAGTCCAAGGGCAATAGGTTTTATTTTATTCTAATTATTTAAAGGGTTTACAGATGTTTTTATCTTTCTAAGGTCCTTAGATAGGACCGTAAATAAAAAAATCGTAGTCGTTTTATCTAATAGCTAGTTAAACGGGTGGGAGTTTTTAGTAGTTAAGCACCTAAAAGGTGGGGTACCTGTAGATATAGGAGGGAAGCTTGTCCGCTTGGATAGATGCGTCTAGAGTAATCGTCGTAATTCGGGAGGAGTCAAAAGGGAGACGCTTACTAGTCCTGCTGGCTGTTATGACATTAGTTTCTTGCAAATCTGACGGCAAAATTATTCGCATAAACCGATGGTGATCTCATTCTTGAGATTTCGCAGGAGGTACTCGACGCAAGGTGGCGAAACCATTCCGCTTCCGAGAACGAGAATTTTTACTAAATCGGCCATATTCCTTGATTGACACGAGTTGAGCAGAAGAACGTAGTTGATAAATCGTCACGGGTAGTATTGTTACTGTAGGGAGAGCACGAACAGGTGTGTGAAAGCTTTAAAAAAAGAGCTTGTCTGACCATCCCTCCCGAGGGCCGCCGATATAGGCGACTGCCAGATACGTGAGGATCACGATGACACATCAGAGAGGGTACTAGGGCAAATGTAGACTACCTAGTGTCTCCTACGGACGTCGCTGATATTGAAGATCTGCCATCTCATCAGGTAAAATCGGACTTCGGTCTCTTGGAGTCTCCGCCCGTCCCGCTCTGATCCCGTCCCGTTTGATTGCTCAATTGAGCAAAATTTCCGGTATTTCGATGCGGCATTATTGTGAGGAGATAATCATCAAATATCGAGATTAGAGTAGGCCGAGAGACAAAACAAGCCAAACAGGTCACAGGCCAAGCGAGCTAAGCGAATATGAGTAACTAATTAATGCCCTAAGCAATAAAGGCTGGGCATAGCAACAACTGCAGTTAGAGTCGTCGAGAAGGCACGTTATTTTTATACTAAACTGTCTGGATAAGCGACAAAGGAGCCGTAACGAGCAATAAGATATATTAGGGAGGAATATTAGAATATTAGTAACAACTCGGTTTCATAATGCCACTCACCTGTCCGTTTAAATAGAAGTGGTAAGATGAAAGTGATTTTATTAGAGCAGTAACCTTTCCGCCACTGCGCCTTTAGCCGTGACTATACGCAGGATTATAGTAAGCACTCAATCGGCTACTGAGAAGCATTCCACTTTCTTAATGATTTTGATCATCCATCACGTTGCTAAACAGTGGCTATTGAATTCTAGGCTTAATTCTAAACCCACACAACATCGTTCAATTGTTAGATGACACAACAAGCCCAGGTCCCAAGGCTTGGCCATCTTTAACTACCACTTTCTCAATTGGTAACACAACGAAAAACATCCTCAGCCAGCCGCCGTTCTCCTGCTCCGGGGTGATATTCTTCCACGAATGTGCAGTTCCTCTTTGAACCAATACATCGCCCTTACGCATTACTTTCGAATTGCCCGAATCAAGCGACCACTCTACTGACCCGTCTAGAATAACAACGTAATCCAATGTAAGCGTCCGATGCATGTCAGAGACGCTTCTGGGCGGAAAATCAACAATCCGGCACATTGTTGCTTGGGAATGGACTTCCGGTGGCACGGGTGCCTCCAAGTCCTTTCGGTATGACTTTAAATCGGCATCGGCATCGGCTTCAGAAGTAATGGCCGATTGGGGTGACAGGCCACGAACTGGAAATGTGCTTGTCGAGTAGAGTTGGATATTCCTGACGGGTACTCCAGTACTGGGATTGGGGAATGGGCTCCATGGACTTGTCTCATCGAATGCTGTGCAAAAAACAGCATGACCAGTCTCTGTGTCATGAGTTGAGATAATGCGTCGAGGGATTGGGAGGGGATAAGCGTCAGAACTATCAGTAGCAGACATGATGAGAAATTGTTTTACAGAAGCTTTCCTGGATCTTCGAGGGTAAACGATGAGTGCATCAAGATATTCATGAAAGTTGAGGTGAGAAAAGCAAGACCTTTATGTGATATTGTTGGAAGGGGATTATATACATGTTATTTTGTTATATTCTCGGAGTCTCGGGGCTTATTTCCGTATCATAAGCTATTATACCACTGCAATTGTAAAGCAAGGGCTTCAAATCTATGTCCTATTTGGTATGATTGATTCCGTTAACTCCGTTATGATTTTACCAAGACCGGTCTAAGGCTGGTTTAAGGCTGGTGTGTAATACACTGGGTGTTCCTATAGTAATTCTAGGTTAGCTATTCCTAATATATAAACAAGCAGTTGTGACAAACTAGGTGTTTCTATAGTGAAATTATAAAAATAATTTGTTCTCCATCTTCGATGCTACAGCAAGCGGCATTTCAACTAAGCTGGTCACCCAAAACATACATACGGAGCGTTCCAGGAAGAGATTTGAGAAACGACAGGCCCTATAATCCCTAACCCCTAAAGCCATCGCTAATGAAGCTAGACCTCGTTCCTTTGTTGACTGTTTCGTGGCAGAGAGGCTTATATTGAGTGGCTATTGCAGAAGTGTAGCATGCCTCCATTTGCCCTCGCCTCCGGGTTCGCACGCAAGTCTGACTTAATGCCATGCTTGACTCAGAAATCACGCAGAGCAAACGCCGTTTGGTGACTACTATATGTCTTCTTAATGAATCGTTTTTTCTATTCCGAATTTTGAAGATGTAATCATTATGGCAGCCAAGCTTTCTCCCCGGTTCTTTATCACTCTGTTACTGCCTATAATAAGTTTATATTTAGAGAGATTCTTCTACACCGCTACGACGCTGAATTAGAGACTGGCATTTCCAATAATAATGACATAGATAGTGGAGTAATTCAAGTTCAGGCTGATAAGTGTCTGGTTGGATTACTCCGATGGGCAGTTGGAGCCACCTCAGGTGACAACTGGTCGGCCGTGCTGGGCAGCGTCGGTAGCATTATCACCCAGCAACACCCAGACTTCAACCCCGAGGCTTTAGGTACAAGAAGCTGAGTGAGTTGGTAAATGCTACTGCAATGATTCCTTTAGAATATCATCGTCTTACAGACGGTAAATCTGCCGCTCTTTGTGTACAAGATTAGAGACGGGTCATCGCACAGGCTTCAAGACGACATGTGAGGTAACAGCTCACAGTCGCGACCATTTCCACTTTCAATACAGCTGATGGTTGAAGACAACCTCGTAAGCAGTGAATACGTAAAAACTGTCTTTCTTCTCCAGTGGTCCTCTGTGCCGTACATATACAATATAATCAAGGCATAAAATAGCAATAGTCATTTATCATGCCGCAGCTTAGTGCAGTAGCCTCTTCTTGAAACTCTTGACCAATGCACTTTATCTGTCGGCTCCTGCATCCATCACATTTCCCGTTTGACGGTACTGCATAGGAGCACCTGGTTTTACGGCGCGTGCACTTCCAGCAGCTTAATGTAAAAACACACTCCGCTAATTACTATAAGAAACATTGTTTTCAACAGTACTAGCACCTACTCAATTAACACAGTCATTGTGCAAGACTGTGCTGATCTGAAAACTGTCTCCAGCCTAATAGAATATATAGAAATTGAAAGATGCTATAGCCTGTCTGATAATAACATAACGGCCTTTAGGGTAAGATTTCTAATGTATAAATCTTGCAGTGCCCCCTTTAGAACCCATGCTAGAGAATGCCCCTCCACGCGTAGGTAGGTTTTAGTAGCTAAAATAAACACCTTTATGTCTACCCTTAGATCGGTGCCGATTCGGCAATATTCATTCTTCGAATTGCATTATAAGTGTAGAAAATTCTCTTTCATTATTGAATCTCTTTGTACCCTCTGTTAAAGCTTCATTTGCTCAGAAACCATGGATCTCAATAATATCCTTAAAAATGAAAAGAACGATAACTCAGTTCACGCGTGCAAACCCTCGACAAACATGCACGATCTCACACGAGCAGAAACGAATAACTTGACTAAACCAGCTACCAATGAGAAACTTCAGACCGAGACTGATAATCCTCGAGACAGTCAACGTGCAGAAGGTCCATATTCTATTTACAGTCAAAGAACAAAAAAATTTCTTATAATATCTGTCTCCTTCATGGCCATTATTTCTCCACTTTCTTCAGCGGTCTATTTGCCAGCCATTCCCCTGATTAGTCGCGACCTAAATGTTTCACCATCTTTGATCAATCTTACTATCACGACTTATCAGGTTGGTTTCCTATCGTCGCCCCATGATTTTTTGATTAAGTTGCTGATTGCATTCATTTGCAGATATTTCAAGGCATTGCGCCATCTTTCATTGGAACTTTTTCTGATACTTACGGTCGTCGGCCTGCCTATATTATCTGCGGCATTATATATCTGGCAGCCAACATTGGACTGGCTCTCAATAATACCTACGTGGGTTTATTGGTTCTTCGATGCCTCCAATCGTGTGGAAGCTCGGCTACTATTGCTCTTGGCTCCGCCACTGTAGCCGACCTGGCCACCCGTGCGGAAAGAGGCAAATTTATCGGATACGCTGGGATGGGCGTGACTCTAGGCCCAGCTATTGGCCCCGTTGTAGGTGGTCTAATCTCAGAGAATTTGGGCTGGAAAGCTCTATTCTGGTTTCTTGCAATTTTGTCCGGTGTGCTTTTCTTGTTGATTTTCGTTTTTTTACCCGAGACATGCCGTTCTGTTGTTGGTAATGGCAGCATTCCCAGCCCCTGGTGGAACATGTCTCTTCTGGCTTATATTCAGCATCGAAGGAATCCAATTGGAAGTAGTTTGGAAAAGCCGGCAGCCAGAAAGAAAAGACCTAATCCATTTGCTGCACTCAAGATTCTTCTTCACAGAGAGTCTGGGATGCTGCTTGGATTTGGCTCGCTCATGTATGCTGGATATTTTTCCGTTCTCACAACACTCTCCAATGAGCTTTCTGTTCGATTTGGGTACAGTCCAGTCATTATTGGCCTTTGTTACCTTCCAATAGGCGTAGGCAGCATAATTACCAGGTGGACAGTGGGGTATTTGATCGATCGCAACTTCAAAAGGCATGCTGATAAAGCGGGTTACGAATTTACGATTAATCGTCAGCAAGACATGAGTATGCTGAACGTGGAACGGGCCCGGTTAGAAGTATCTTTACCTCTTATCTACCTGGCCTGCGGCGTCGTATTGGCCTACGGTTGGACTATGGAGAGTAAATCTTCCCTGGCTGGTATCGAGATAACCCTCTTTTTTATTGGCATGTTTTTCACCGGGGCTCTAAACGGCTTGAACGTGTTGGTAGTAGATATCAACTCAGATACGCCTGCTACAGCTGTTGCAGCGAATAACCTCTTCCGTTGCTTAATAAGTGCCGGCGCGGTGGCCATCGCCACTCCGATGATTAACAGAATCGGCTTGGGTTGGATGGGTGTGTTCATTGCAGGGGTTTGGGTGATATTTAGCCCATGCGTCTGGATTATAATGCTATTTGGGCATAAGTGGCGATCAGGCAGGATACCTATTTAAGGACCTGCCGTTCCCACTTCATCGGGTGGCATCGGACATTTAATTTCGGGGCTTCGGTCCCTCGGAGTCTCCGCCCGTCCCGCGAAATCTAGCTGCACACTTTCGTAGCTTTTCAATTCAGTATTTTGGGAGCTGAGGATTATGAACACTTGAAGTTAAAGTGGTCTAGCGAGCCAAGCGAAGGTTAAACCTGTTCAGGAGGAAAGGCAGCTGGTTGTACGACCTAGCTGACGCCGCAAATCGTCAGAACGGGCAGAGCTATGCAATCCATAGAATAAAATCTACTCAATCCAGTTCTTTCTTAACTAAAAGTTCCTCTAAAGTACCTTTTTCTCTTGTTTTTTTGCGTTGTAAGAGCTACTGTGACTACCGGTACTGTACTGATAGCCATATGTTTTTGATTTTAGAGATGAAGCTTGTAGAGCGCCCATGTGCTCAATTTGTGCCTGCAACTTAATTGCCTAGGCCTTTGTTCTAGAACCGTGATTGAAATTGAGCTGAATATTTTATATTTACTTCCTCTTACTCCAACGCAACACATTGGAGTTTTTAAGGGAATATGCGTCTTAATTCCTAGCAGCAAACCCTCCAAAATGTTTACAAATGTTTGCGTCTACAGGAACAACAAGAAGATTCTCTTCAGAAATAGCGTTCCAGAAATTCCTAAAGCTGCTTAAGGCATGGTATTGATCAATTGCTTCCTTATCTTTGCCTATTTATTCACAGCTCGTTATTATACAAGTGCAAAGTTTTGTGTTAAATTAACATGCAAAGACTCCATATTTTTAAGGGAGCAACAAGACAACATGGAAACTTTTGGAAAGGGATCACTTGGCTTACATTCAATGTGCACGATGATCTTGCTTGTTTCGTTGAAATGTTCTTCGTTCAGGCATATCTCCTCAAAAAGCTGGAACTGCAGGATCGAATCCAGAGTCTCTTCGACTTGTCTGGAGATGGTCTCCAGAAGAGTTTTGACCTTGAAATAGTTTGGAAAGCCCGTAAACTACCACCATTCGCATCAGCAGCTTTCCAACAAGTCAACTTACTCGTTCTGTTTTGCCTGGATAGGGTACGAAGAGAACTGTTACGAACAGGTCTGCCATATCTAGTTTATTCCAATGATGTTTTTGGTTTGCTTTTTGGTTTCGAGAGATTAAATATTTTGTCTGATATCCTTTATATAAGTATGCTTACCAGCAGCCCCAAAACTTTTATAAGAACGACCTTGGCTTCTTTGGATTGTGGCAAATTAGAATGAATATGAACTATGTAGTAGATCCATGCTCGGAATAAGCCGGAGGACTTTGGAACGGGTCAGAAATAGCTCTGACCGCATTGGGGTCGAGATGCGTATTGCGTTTTCGCTAGTCAAATCGCTCAAAGCAATTAATCAAGATTACTGCCAAATGCTGCATGATGATGAATTACCACAGTTGTTGGGGTTTTTTTTTTACAGTTGGCTCAGAAGGCAAACACTTGGTATGTCATGTATGGAGGCTTCGAAGGGGCTCATGCGGTATTCTGTGCATCATACAATTTTCAACGAGGGTTGGCGGGCTGCCCTACCTCGTCGTGATCATGAATAACATGGATACAGGTGTGTGTAATCTACAATAAACAAGAAAACCGCGCAGCTATTGCTCACGTCTATGAACCCGCAGCCCTTAGCTCGGTTGCCTCGGCATTCCTTAAAGCGTGAAAGAGGCGCACGAAGTGCGTACAAGATCCTTGTGCAATAGTCACAGCGCTATCTAGAAGCTAAGATATCGTAATCAAGTGATGGTAATAATTTACTGCCGAAGTTCTTTCCATATGATGAGAGCTTTTGGCCTCTGCATTCCCTTCCTTGAGCTTTGACAGGAGTCAAGATGTTCACTTAAGTTTTAAGTTAACAACCATCTAACGTATCCTACCTGGTACTCTCCTCAAACTGTACTTGACAATCATGACATGGAAGGCTTTAATGATTGCGATATAGACCTTCCCAAAAAGCCCATGGCAATGGACTACTGTAGTTACGACCATCTCCCTAGCTTCGCTATTGCTTTCCATGTAATCCATTACAAAATCTTGGTGTTCCCTTATCAGAATTGAAGTTTGAAAGTCGAGATGGCTGTCAAATTCTCCCACAATAATCTCACTGTCTGTGCGCGAGAGGATAGGGAACACTGCAATAGTGTCGATGCCCCTTTTCTCTGCTGCTGCTTGTATTTCCGTAGAGCGCTTCACGCCAAAGGTTGCCATAACTCGATCTCTAATCCGCATCAACAGTGAGAACCAGGCAGGTGGCTCGCAAAAAAAGGCCCGTGCGAGGACATCTGGTGTGTATGCTCCTGACTTAGGTATTGGGAGTGACACAGCATATGCGTCAACAAAATAAGCTGATTTGTATAACGATGCCAACTTGCTTTCACTTGGGAAACGAACGGCGTGAACGGATGATGACGGCATTCGCGTTCCTCGCGCTGGGCAAGTATGCAACGAAAGTAAGACTGGGGTACAATAACGTTGCGAATGGCAGCGCGGTCGAGTCTGCGCTGCTGCAAGCCGAAGCATTATTTAGCAGATAGGCTGCAGAGAAGAAAGGATGAAGTGATGAGCCTACCAACATGGCCAGGGAGAAAAGTAAATAGAACCTTTGGAACAAGGGTCATGTCCTTGCGCATCCGAAAATACCCGATTAGCGCCTGCAGGCGGGTGAGGAATTTTGCAATGCGTGACTCACGTTGGGGCTCACAAAGACTATGTAGCTACCTGGCCGTTTTGCGTTCGGCACAAAAGAACCAAACCCCGAAGCGGTGGCTGCATATTCAACCAAGAAGAAAAATAGCTTAGGATTCTTATGTGGGGGCATCCTCTGGACTATCAACGCCTAGGACATTAGAGCTACGTTTACAACCATGCACTGCACGACATACCTTACACGAGGAGGCTAGAAGAGCTAGGAGAGCTAAACTGCCGCAGGGTATCAGTTTCTTACAGTCTCAGACTCAGGAGCACCTTTGTCAGCTATTTCAGTTGTGATCGGGTTTCGGTCGATATTATAATACCCATTCTCTCCCACTATCCTTTGCTCCCTCCCTCAATTATCATTCAATTACATTGGCGATTGCGTGCGGTGGCCTCTGGTTCTATTCGTTCAGCAATACCTTATACCATGGCAATTACGACTGAGGGAACGTTCCAGATTGACGATGATAGCTTCTATTCCAAGACTTGGGCGGTACGTTTGGCACAGAGCATTCCGGGAGCTCTTGGATCGGTAGAGGCTGACTTGCCTATAGCCAACTGGCGCAGTTGTGGCCAAGCTAATATTAGTCCATGGTTTCAGCGACCACATCAACTGCTACAACGAGCTCTTCTCCAGGCTTGCGGCTCATGGTATCCAGATTTTTGCATGGGACCAGCGTGGCTGGGGTCGCAGTGTGACGAGATCATCCGAGAAGGGTCTTACGGGCGGGACGACGCGGGTGCTCGCCGATGTGGCTGCTTTCATTGGGGATAAGTTGCCGTCTGAATTACCCATCTTTGTGATGGGCCACTCTGCCGGTGGAGGTACGATTCTCACACTTGCGGCCGAGCCACAGTACAAGAATCTAGTATTGCAGATCCGCGGCTGGATCCTAGAAGCCCCTTTAGTGGGCTTTCTGCCTCAGCAGGAACCAAATTCTATCGCGGTGATCGCTGGTCGATTGGCATGCATGCTGTTTCCCCAGAAGCAGATGATACACTATGTGGCACCTGAACTGTTCAGCCGAGATACGGCAATTGTCGAATCAATCAGGAATGACCCCCTACGCCACAACACCGGCACACTGGAGGGTCTCGCAGGATTGCTCGATCGGACCATGGCCTTATCGTCGGGCAAGACTAAGATGGGGAGACATGTGCAGAGCGTTCTCTCATGCACGGGACCTGCGATAGGTCGTGCAGCTATGATTCTGCCGTGGAGTGGTTGGATAGGCAGGAGACGAAGGACAAGACGGTTAAGTCATACGAAGGAGCGTATCATCAGCTGCATATGGATCTTTGCCTGGAAGAGTTCTCTGAGGATTTGGCGGAGTGGATCTTACAGAGGAGTGTCTCGACTGAACAGAGTGAGATCATTTCTATGGAAGGTTAACATGAAGCCCTTTAGAGACGGATATAATAGTCTCCCTCCTAGGATGTTTCCCTTGGTTATTCCCTTCTTGAATGCCTCGAAAAAAGCTGAAAGAAGTCCTCTTTTGAACATTGGTTGTACCTGCCCTCATCTTCCTCTCAATCTCCCGACCATACGCATAGCGGGCTGAAACAGCCAATATCAAGAGGTTTTAGCATGTAAGATATGTGAGGGGGCATGTACCGGTACAGTAGAGAGGAACGATATGCTTTTCCTTGCAGAAGGCGTCCAAGTTGAGAGATTGATGACTTTCATGGCCATCCAGCACAAGGAGCCGTGTTCTCTCAATTGTACGAGGCCAAGTATATTTGTTGAATGCTGAATCCATTATAGTCCAGTTCCATTTGTATTCCACCCATTTTAGGATGCTGCGATCACCCGGTCGGGTGTTAGAGGGCTATTCTCATGCCATGCTGAGAGGTGATATTGGCCGCTAAGCACGATGAATGGCGGCAGGCAAAACCCAATTGCACCAAAGCCTTGGATAACCGCAACCCATTCTTGATTGCTAGGCTGCACTAATTTTGCATTTGAGGCCCTTTCTGAGCTTATGACCACCATTCCAGTAGATATAACGCCCATTTGGAAGCCAGTCTCGTCAAAGTTGTAACTGTTCCCATCTGTAATGCTATATTTCGCGATTGTATTGCGCAGAAGGGAGAACTACCCGCTTACCACGGCTGGATCCTTATATAAGGCTCTCTTATAGTCATATCTGCGTAATTGACGCGTTTTGAGCTCTTTATGGCGCGCAATGAACCGATAAGGCGAGCTGACTCCAACTAGCTTCCAACTACGCGCTGAAAGCAGAAGATCTGCCATAGCTCTAACATACCTGATCCGAGGAGCACAAGATCAAGTATTCAGGTTAATTATCCGTTAATAATTTTTTTCTTTTAGTTCTGTTAATTAACTTGGAATTTGGTGGGCTATTGCGTCGGGAAGTTAAACTATTTATTTTGCGGCTTAATGTTACATAACTTATATTATATATAGTAAAGTAGCTTACTAAGGACTATAAACTTATTTATCTTAAGATTCAGCATAATTTAACATTTCTTAAAAATTCTACAGTATTATTCCTATATTATTACGTTTATATCAAGACGAGAAGAACAAGGTTATATAACATAGAGTATATAAGATTAATAATAATTTCTTTATATTACAGCAATTATCTTACTATACTACACTACCTAATCATAGAACTTTATTACTATACTATATTAAATTTTCCTCCGTTAATTAATATATATAAAATATAAAATTAATAAGCTTTGTACCTAAGTAAGAACTAAACTCTATTATAATAATCCTTAGTTAATTAATATATATACTATTTCCCTAAAGGTAAATAATATACTATAATATACCTAAACTATTTAACTAAGATATAGTAATTATTAAATTAATTAAAAATAACCCCTTATGCTATAACACCGGTACACTATAGGGTCTAATAGAATTACTCGATTAGACTATGGTCTTATCGTTGGGCAAGACTAAGATAGGGAAACATATGCAGACCGTTCTTCTTATGTACGGGACCAGAGATACCGAAGCCGCTATTGAATACATGTACCCCGAATCCAAGCGGGAAGATGAGGCTACGAAGAAGAAGAAGAAGAAGAAGACATAGATGTGGAGGCTTAAGAGGCCGAAGAGATGGAGGAAGAAGAAGCCAACAATGGGGAAGACAAATCCCAAGAAATGGTTCGAGAAAGGCAGTAAAAGAGTTTCCAAGAGATGAGCCTTCCATCCAACAATTTTTGACCGCCCAGATGTTGACTGGTTTGACACATTGTTGAGAGTGCATACACAATCTCTTGTCGATGTGACAGAATATCGGAATGACATCGACAGGACTTTGTCGCACTCCCGCCGCTCAGAAATAGACGAGGCACGAGAAGGATACTTGGAGGGACTAGCTAGCATTCTAGGCGAAGCGTCTGGCTTCAGCATTTCCACCTTGTCTAAGCCATCTGGACCCCTTGGTGCCGTGCTTCACGGCCAAGTACCCTACATGAACGACGGCAGGCTTAAAGTTCAATCTTCATCATGTCATGATACGTTTCACTACCTGCCTACACACCCATCCGTTGTCCACTGTTACATGCAGTATAGCTTATCGTGACCAGATACGGGACTACTCTTGGTATTATAAATCCCTTGTCTAAAGTAACCTGGGTAATAAGTTCCCACTAGTAACATCTAAGGCGAGTGGTAGCTAATGCGTTTGGCCCGTGCCTCTAGATAAAACTAAATTAATTCGTTGCAAATTGCCAAGATATCTCGGGTTTCTGTTCGAATACCGGACCCAGGCTTAGGACACTCCGCCTGGCGGTGTCTACAGTGATTGGCCACGCCTCAGCCGTGGGAGTTTTACCGCGCGGCATTATATAAGCCTTGCAGTCCACATAGCCGTGGGTTGCATATATATGTATTCAAAGGTCTAGAAGCTCAGGTTGAAAGTTCCTACTAAAGCACAACGGCAACAAAATATAATTAAGTCAATCTGTTTCCTCCTATCTACCACAACCGTCAAGATACCGTCTTTTGCCATGGTTAAAGTTGCCGTAGCAGGCGGCACTGGTGGCCTTGGGCGAACCATTGTGGAGGCGCTCGCAAACTCCGACCACGAGACCGTCGTTTTGACACGAGAGGTATGCACAATCCTTTTTTTTTTGCACAGCAGTAGACTTATACTTCATGGCAACTAGCACAACATACATCGCACGACTATTGCTGGAGTAACCCTGGTAGCCGTCGACTACACTAATGTAGAGGCTATCGTTCGGACACTTAACGATCACCAAATCCACACGGTGATCTCATCCATGGTAATCAAAAGCTTAGAGCAATCCGAAGCTCAAATAAACCTTATTCGCGCAGCCGAAGCTGCACCGTCTGTAAAGAGGTTTACCCCCAGTGAATTCGGTACCCCCCGACTTGAAGCGTAAGTTCCGCTTTCCCAGGCCTGACCTTGATATCTTGCTGAAGAGTTGTTTGGACTAGATCGACCAAAACAGGTGCTGCCGTCTCAATCAGTTACAAAGATGCCGCAATCGCAGAGCTGGAGAAATCTCACCTCGAGTATACTCTCTTCTCTCATGGCGTGTTCATGGATTACTATGGGATGCCCAAATGCCAATCCTATATGACACCCTGGGTATTCGCCATCGACATCGCTCACAAAATGGCGGGTATCCCAGGGTCCGGCAATGTACCTGCTGTCTATACATATTCTGGAGATGTAGCCAAGTTTGTCGTGGCTGCCATAGGCCTTCCCGATGGAACATGGCATAAGCATAGTACGATGATTGGTGATCGCCGAACTTTGAACGAGGTCCTTGGTACAGCAGAATCTATTCGTGGAAGCTTTAAAGTGCAATATGACACCATGCAGAAACTTCAGCAAGGGGAGATAACCGAATTACCGTCCCATGTGCGCTTGTATTCGCAAACTGCGAAAGAGTTACTCCAGCAGCGTTTCGCTGGATTCGGTATCGGCATGGAGACCGGGGCGTTCGACTTCAACGTTCCAGCAAATGGCGTATTGTTAAATGACCTTTTTCCAGACATTCACGTGAAGTCTGTGGAAGACATCATTACAGAAGGCTGGGCTGAAAATGCCTAACATGCCGCTGCCCAAATAGAGTCGATTTTTGTGCTGGCACCTTACTGGAATTATCCACCATGAGTAGAATACTTAGAATTACTGTTTAAATTATTACTCAAGGCGAAATAGATCGAATCCACTTGAATGAGACATCAATTTAAATTAATTTAGAAATAAAAAGTATCTCTGATGTGAAATCGCTTGGCTTCGGCGTCACTTAGATTGAATATGGATACTTGGGTGGCCGCTGTACAACGGAATTCGGCTAAAAGATTGATAGAGCGGCATGGTGCTTTTAATACAGCGGCATGATCTTGCAGAGGCATGGCTATTTGCGGATTCAAAGGCGCCCAATTCTACCTTCCCCATATATACTTCCGAGCAAAGCTGTTGTTGCTGGCTGCCTCAACTGCTCACTATAATACAAAATCAGGGTTGTAAGGTAGGTCAGGCACACCTTTCATGGGTTTCCAAAATATACTTACGCTTTACATTAGCTGTTCAATTCTAATAATACACGGGCGATGAGTGGTTCCTGATAACTTTGGTCATGTTCTACTGCTTAACTACAAGACCGGCCTTATGATTAGGGTTAGGGATCCCATTGATTCCTTGTTCCCCGAATGCTCCGTTGCAGTTTTGGACGACTGGAACAGAGTCCTGTTTTATTTTCAACCTTTGAAACTGCAGAAAGTCTGCGTCTCTGCCACTGTATCAAGTCCCTTACCTAGCTGCCTATATCAGACAATCAAGATTTTCTTGTACTTATTGGCTGGCAAGCTGCAGCTATTATCTGTAATTCCGTAATGTGTCAAGGTCAGCGCTGCAGAGCCGCATGTTGTGAAAGTACTGGTTACAGCTACATCCCTCATGTCCTAATATCCAACGGGTAAATATGGCAGCGGAGGCGGAAACGAGAAACCAGTGTAATTGACGCCTTCGCAATATCATGCTTGGCGTTGCCTCAAATCAGAAATGTTGCTTATTTAGGCTAGTATTAATGAGCGCAGTTACAGTGGGTAATCAGTTGGAGTAAGGAGAGAAATAAAGAAAGGATACAAGCGACTGTAAATACAAGTAGTAATTGACTGACTTAGACCCGCCGGAGTCGGTCCGTCGCCGAAGTCCTAGGTCACACCGTCGTTCCAAAACTCTTCTCAAAAGAGGTACATTAGCGCCATGATGACATGTTAACATCTGATAGTATTAGTATAAGCTGCTAATTCCAGCCGGAGCTATCAAAAGTGGTTTATTAAGGCAGCAAATCAACGTAGGATACCTGCGTCTCTTTGATCCCCCGCACCATCACAGCGTCAATGGAAACCTCTGGCGCAGCCGTCCCCCGAACTTGTATATCAACGCTGGGATGGGGATTAAGGCCAAGGCAATGAAACCTAGCAGAGAAGTCCCCCAGCCGACACCCAGTGATTCATACATTTGAGGTCCGGCAAGGGGGAGGAAAGCGGCGACTATGCAACGCAAAACGGAGAAGGCAGCTAGGCCGCTTGCAGAATGTTGAGGGGTAAGCGTCGATTATATATGCCTGGGCGGGAAGCCAAATCCCAACAATGGCAATACCAAAAGGAATAATTCCAATAATCGGAACAATCCAATGTACAGCTTGGTCTGCACTCCATCCATACCAGAAAAATGAAATAGGTAAAACAAAAGCAAAGAAAATACAGTCTGCTAGACGCATCTCAGGCTCAAAAACCCCATGATTAGCCTTAGTCATGCGTATAACAGTTTTGTCTGACAGCACGGCGAAGATACCAAGCCCTACTGCATACCCAATAAGCATCGTTAAATAGACTAAGCCAGTGATACCAATAGACCAGCCATAGCTGCCCTGAAATACCGCCGGAATGGTATTAAAAAGAAGATATAAGCAACCGTATGCAAAAGCGATGTATAAGGAGATGCTGAATATAATGGCCGAATGGAAAAGCATTTTCATCGGTCTCACAAATCCGTCAAGAAGAATCTGCCAGGTGGGCAGAAATGGGGTGTCTGGGTTATCGTAGCAGCTGCGAAGTTGTGGGCGGTTAAGCTCCCGTCGTAATTTCTGTGTTTTGCGCCTGATAAGGACTTGATGGTTTGTTTCACGATTAATGGCCGTTGAGATGAGAACTATAATAGCTGCCGGAATGAAGGTTATCCAGTTCACCCAACGCCACCCTATAGTCTCAGAGACAAACCCTCCTATCAATGGGGCACATGACGGTCCAAAAAGAGGGCCAAGCATCCATACTGCCATGGCTCGCCCTCTTTCACTGACTGGAAAGAGGTCACTAATAACGGCGCCGCCAATTGTCTGGCAGGCCGATCCTCCGATTCCAGTCATAAAGCGGAAAAATATAAGCGTGTCTAAAGTAGGGGCTAAGGCGCAGCCGATAAACCATAGACAAAACCAGAGGTTCGAGACCAACAGAACAATATTGCGGCCGTAGATTTCGGATAGAGGCGACAGAAATAGAGGTCCAACGGCATAGCCAAGGAGGAAGATGCTAACAGGCATCGCCCCTTTGGTAGTGCTGGAGACTTCCAGATCCTTCTCGATGAAGATGATTGCCGGAGCCAGAATAGAAGAGGCAAATGGTGACATGAAGGTGATCATTGAGAGGAGACAAACTATTAGCCACTTTTGGCTGTTCTTGAAATTGAGTGGCATGGCCGGGTCATCTTCCCTCTCCCAGCCAACTATATCTTTGTCCAAATCTGAAGTCGGGATTATGGGAGATGTCGGTTTCTCCTCTATCTTATTTTGAGGTGGCCTGGTTGGGAGGCCTTGGTCAGTAACGCTTCCACTCATTTTCATGGGCTCTTCTATGGTGCTATCTCTCATGGCACGCTGTTCAGCAATAGCTGTTAGTATCCGAAGCCACAGCGCCTGAAATGGGTGCTTACGCCTTGAGTCTCAACGTCGAGGATCTGATCGTCTAACTCGCCAGCCACGTTGCTTTTGCTAGTTCCATGCTTCTCACTGGAAATGACAGAGTTCCCCTCTTCGAGAGTTTTTTCGTCCTCCATCATGGCACCAAAGGTCGTATTGTAGATAGGTCTTATTCCGAATTGAGTATTTGTGTGTGCGGAGTTTGGAGGTAGACAAAGCGGCATGACAGATTCAAGTACCAAAAGATACCATCATACTGGCAGGAAGAGGCATTTTTATGTTAGAATCGTGGATAAGGGAGATTTTTGGTGGAGGATTACTTGATTCTGTAAGTATCATTTCGCTCTTGGCTCTATTAAGTTTGTCAGCACCCGCGCGGGCATGGCGTAGACAGAATAGGAGATTTTTACCTTGCGAATGAACACCGCCTAGTTGAGTCCGCAAATGGCGATCAAGGGTCCACAGAATGATCCTGCTCAACGTGCTAGCACTGGGTTGTTGATATTGCCCCGGTAGCACAATTGACCTCCAAGGATTCTTATTGACATGTTATGGACATGAGGTAGGCTGTTCTCGTTTGTCTCGGTGAATCACTTATCTGTGACAGTGAACTCATCCCTTTTCCCTGTTTACTGAGACTTTAAATGACTCTCTTGTATGGGAGGTCCTATGGGGTAAAACACTTTGATCTAACCATACTTAAACTTGATGTATTCACTCCCGAGTGCCACTCTCTAATTCTAGTTGGTGCCAACATGCGTCGGTCTACAAGCGTCGAGTCGTTGGATAGGAATACCTTCCACATAACAACCTGTAGAGAGAAATGGTCTTAAATCCAAATAAATGATTTGTTAAAGAATATCACAATTTTCTAAATCTACAAGTTTACTTAAGTTGGCAAGATTATCACGTCTTAAGCGCGCCAAACTGAAAGCCAAGTGGTGAGCTTGCTTTTCAAGTTTCTGATATCTTTACTCCCAAGACACTAACACGATGTTACGCCTTGTGGGGTTCGTGATCCGATCCACCGTCCGTAGCGTCGGCGGTGAAGCTACTGATTGGCCTGGCCATTTGGTGCCGCAGCGGAAATTGCGGTATTATCCCGCAGTGCGGGATCGCGTAAGTCCAAGCCAGTGGCTAGACATCTTTTCATTTTGGACTACAGTCCAAGGTTGCAGAGGCAAGATTAGCCAAGCCTGTTGCCAAAGACAGGCCACTGAATTTCCCCCTTTGCCGGTGATTCCAGTATCTATTGCAACGGTAAGGGAGTCGGTTTTATAGGTTGCCAAAAGCTTTGCTATATTTTTGTTGGCTTTTATTATATAAATTCCATAAAATATATAAAGAATAGGCCAACCATACGTCAGCTTTTTATATCAGCAGCACACTATATCCTAGAACATTCATACAGTTCGGTACATCCCAAGATTCATCAATTTCAGTCCGCATCGACCATACTGTTTCCATGACTAACAAAGCTTCCTTCATAGTTCCAAACATCTCTAAAGGCCCCAGCCGACGTACTAGTGCTCTATATATAGCCTCATCTTCAGGCGGGGACAAGCAGCCAGATATGCACATTGGCCATGCCAGTGCCCTTATTCCAGGCCCTTTTGGAACCCGACAAAGTAGGTCCGTTGCCTTCGCAACCGACCAACGAAATTCTTGGTGGGAAGGCTGCCACCCCAGTACGACTACGTTCAAGTAGCTCAGCGTAGCAAGCAACCATACCATTTCGTGCTTGGGCTGCTGGTTCGCATTTGCGTCAGGCCAAGAATCGACAACTTGGAGTGTGGTGACATCCTGAGCAATGTATTGCCGCTGGCAATGACTCTCCAGAGACTGAATACCTGCTTTAATTACGTCCGATAGGACTTTGCCACGAGACTCGAGTTCGCTGACCTGCAATGAATTGCTCTTCTTTTGCATGCGCTTCCACTCTTCCAGAGATGCTACATCACCTAGGACCTGCATGATCCAGTTTCGTAATCCAAAGAACTCGTCAAAGCACAGATAGCCGGCTTGGATTGCTTCAAAGCTCTTCTCATAAGATAGGGATTCTGGGACAATACTTGCATGGTAACTGGCAAGTTGTGGCAAATTGCCCAAGGTGACACTCGATAAAATGTCGATGTATAGAATCGTGGCTGTAAAGAATCGCAGCGCCGCTTGGTTTGTGGTCCACGGTCGCCTTAACCCAAACTCCGGAGGCGGCCATTTGTGGGTTTGGGTATACAAGCTGTTCAGTGTCTTGGTCCACTCCTTTGGGTCGGGGAGAATCCGCAAGAAAACTGCAATGGCTGCATTGAGATGCAACTTCCAATTGTCCTTGTTAGATGTCGCCACTTCAAAAAAGATCATTTGAAGAATGCTCTGCATAACCACGAGCCCTCTATTCATGTCAAAGCCTGGAGCGTTGGTGTTGATATAATTTACTTCCTTGTGCAACTCTTTGAGGCCAAGTTCTATCTGGCTCTCAAATTTGTGTATCATTTGCATTGTGCATTCATCGTGGGCTCTGTCGCCATTGTTAAGAACAATAGCATAGAACGACGTTGACAAGGAAACCGCGCTATGGTACACAGCCTTATTGGTGTGCAGTATTTCCAATATCCAACCTCGGCCGCCCGCGAGAATCGATGATCGGTAATGCGGGAAGAGGTACGGGAAGACATAGTCGAGGTATATCATAAGCAGATGTAACTCTTTATCAGCCTCCCCTTGACCGATTGGCGTCTTGCTCTGCATAGGAGAATCCTGCAGCACCGAGCTACTATCGTTGCTAAATCCAGAGGTGAAGGCAACGCCGAGATGGCCGGGAGAAGGATCGGAGTCTATAAGTGTATCTGTTTTATCTATGACGTCCGTAGCAGGAGACTCCGTGTCGATATGGCCAAGATTGCTAGCCTCGGCCTGAAGTATCTGGAGGTGCTTGCGTTTACGCTTCTGGGTGGCGGAAAGTTTTATCTGTGCTTTTATCTCTTCCATCATGTTCATCTGCCTCACTCCACCGTCCATCCATGGTGGTTTTTCCTCTTCGTAATAACATGTAATTTGTAGTGCTTGACAAGTGTCACAGACGGGGCGGTTTTCGGCACACTTCTTGCGTCGGACTCGGCAGGTCCAACAGCCGTCAAACGAGCGGAGCTTGCTGTACATGGGCTGCTAGAGGGATGCAAAGGAAATTGAACTGGGAGTGGACGTAATTGTTTGGGGAATAACGGTCTTGAAAATGAGGTTGTCGCTTCATGTTATTGTCAAGGTGTAGTAGGCGATGGGAAGCGCCTTTACGTTATCCAAATACGGATTTTCATTTGCCCGGAGGGAAGTCCCTTGAAGGGCTGGATTGATAATTATTTACTACCTACTAGGGGGGCCTCAAAACCAGCCAACTCCCCGTGTATGCTCCACAAAACATGGTGAAGGTGAAACATTGAATCGGTCTGGAAGATTTAAAAACTGCAATGGCAATGTTGGCTATCATCTTGAGGCAAATTCTTGGTCGATTCTAAATTAGCAGCAATAGTTTCTACAAAGATCGTCATGATTGTGAATCCATCGTATCTATTGTAGACCTAAAGAGAACTGGGGGGGAGGGGCGCTGTTGTAAGCCTCATTGCTGTCAATTCTTCAAGCGCAGTCTTGCTACTATGACAGGAATACCGAGCAATAAGAGCATGAATATTCATGAGTAAGAGATAGCTCTTTAATGAGTAATGTATTAACGACACTTTTCGTGACAACGTGGAATTTCCGTGCTGGAATTTCCGCAAAATGTGGGCCAACGCGGGATCTGTCAGATTTATCAGGGGTGTTTAAACCGGTCTGGCTTTAGTCGCATCATGTACATCCCAACCGAAGGCGCATTTGTTCCATCGGAATCTTTATTCAGCATAGGAAGTGTAATATAATCACTCATCACGTAAATATCATTATGTCATTTGTAATTGTCACTCTTTGGCTATGCCAGCAAATTAGTCTTTTGAAGAAGGTATTCCAAAGCATGTTCACCATCGCATTACTAAAGTTAATAATCTCAATGCAGTTTGAACTAGTCGTCGGGTACTACAATCCTCTCTCGCCAGTGCTAGATCAGTAACACTCCTGACATAGGTCGGAAGTTCCGTGAGTAGGAGTTTAGTCTTTATCGGATTTGATAGAGATAGTAGGTTTCGTATATATAACGGAAGTTAGTTGCAGTTACACATTTAAAATTTCTGTACTAGGATTGTTTACCACGACCATCGAGCATCTATCTATAATCCAAAATACAAACTCTATACACAATGTCTTCTTCAATTACCTTTTTCAATCACGATGCCGGGAAGAAGATGGCAGAAACATTCAACTATTCGCAGGTGGCCAAACTGGCCAACGGAGCTGTTGCTCTTTCTGGAATGTTGGGAGTGGACGCGACCGTGACTCTTGCACCAACCCTAGAGCAACAGGTCGAGACAATCCTGGACCACATAGAAGCAGCTCTTGCAGCTGCGAGCGCAAAACCCACAGATGTCTTCAAAGTCATCAGTTACCATATCGATATTGAAGAGAGTGCTGGTTTGATTACCGCTGGGTGGCTGCGAAGATACAATTTCAAGCCGACGTGGACTGCCATCGGGGTCGCACAATTGGCCATTCCTGGAGCTCGGTTGGAGGTACAAGTGGAAGCATGGCGTTGCTCCCAGGATAATTAGGTCATGGGCCTTGGAAACCTAGAATACGTTACGTAAAGTAGTCCGTTCATCGATGCCATCGAGATTCTTGTAGAAGTCTTCTAGACTAGACAAGCTGATTGTTATACTATTTATAACTTTAGTTATCAATCTGAATCAGTACCTGAGATCACACCCAGTTTAATTCATCCTATGGTAGTATAATAATACAACAGGGTTGTAACTGTAATGGCAAGTCATTTTGCTTAGCCGTCTAGGATGAAAAAAGGTAAAAGGACGCATTCTTTCTTCAGATGCCGCTAATTAATGCTCCCTTGCAGTAAGTGACAGAATAGAATAGAGATAAATGTATTGGTTGCAAGATTGGCCGTTCTTGCAATAAATGACAAATAACTGACCAAGTGAGCTCGGAAATGATGTTACTGCTAAAGATATTTTCCTTGTTCTACACTATATTATCAAAGACTTTTATTCTTCTAAGAATCAATTGTTGCAGTGTTCAAGTCTTACGGGTTTCAATGCAAATATTTTGATACGTGAAGGCAGAAGGAAGTCAAGTTTAGTTAATCTTATAGCATTGAAGGGAAAGTTGTTTTTATAACTGCAAATGTTAATATGCTAAAAATGATTCCAGTTACACTGTTGCACCCACGCCAAACCGCTTCCAGGAGTCTTTGCTTGATACACTCTCCCCCACGCCTTCACATTGGCACGGTCGGTAATCATGTGTCCAAAGCCCATGCGGAACATGTATGACATCAGAGGCATGTAAAATATGTCTACTAGAGTGAATGTGTCTCCCGCCATGTACTTTTGTTTAGCAAGGATGGCTCCGTCGTAAACATCTAGCTTCTGTGCAAGCGTTGCTAGGAGGCTGTGGACCAGCTCCTCATTCTTCGGCTCTCCAGTGATACTAGTAGTAGTATTACGTGTCATTAATAACTAGAGAAATACCTTTGGATCAGGCACTTACGGTTTGAAAATTATTTCCCACTGCAGTGGGCGAGCAACAGCATCAAAATTGCCATTTCCACGCTCGCCCATTGTTCAAAATAGCCCATCTTCGTGAGATTAGACAAGTCAGGGAGTAAAGGAGTACCGACGTTGTCGTATTTCCTTGCCAGATAGCGACAAATAGCACGGGATTCTATAGCGTGCATCAGCATTTATTCCCTTCCGCTTCAAATGAAGTTTTGTGTATATCACCATATAGAGATATCTCGCCGTCTTCGAGAATCAGCACGACACCGAATAGTTGTTTGGCGAGATGACTCGGCACCTAGAACACGAGGTGACGATTAGTCCCGGTGTTTGGATCAAGATAACAGGCACATGTAAGGCACATGTAACGGAAGCCATATGCCTGCCTTTTGTTCCCCTTTCATCAGGTCAATGTCGATAAATTCATAGTTGGAGATGCCCTTTTCCGCTAGTGTAAGAAGGACTTTTAAGGTACATGAAGATTTGGGGGTTCCTGTTAATTTGAGAGCCATATCCTTCGCTGTGTACGTGTATGAAGATGAATTGGTTAGCGATATCTCTACTTCAAACTTTTAATTTATATATGGCTCGGGCTACCACGAGCACTAGCTGTCTCTTGTAACTTTCCAGACAAGGGTTATTGGAAGTTCCGTGAACTTGAATGTGGGGCGCACCTCTATTAAGACTTCGTGGAGAGCCTCGCGGAAGTTCCGTAGATACGTAGGGAATTCCGAAAGAATAAACTAGCGGCACAACTTCGTGGGCCAAAGTCAATCTTTGGAACAAACATAAGCTATCCGTGAATGTAAGTACTTGAGTAGATAACCCCGGTCGCGCGTAGGTGCCGTTGAACATTCGTACGCTGTATTTGGATCACTGACGGTTTCTGAGACTTTTACATCAACGCCGATAGGAATCTTCACATCACTTTTCCATCTTCTGATCTATTTCTACGGAATATATGATAAGAATGGCGGAGCTGGAAGCGACTTTACCCTTGGATGGCTCTAAAACACGGCTGGAGACCATCATCACGTTGATGAGCCAAGCAAACGTCGAGCAAGATACGTCCTGCAGGCTTGTGAGGCCTGTAAACGACGCAAGGGTCGCTGTAACGGTAAACAACCTTGTCAACATTGCTGGAAGCGAGCTGCCAAGTGTCGGTACCCTAGCCACCCTCAGTTATTGTCTAGTAACGATCAAGATGATACCAATAACTCGAAAACTGGATATACGCCTACCATAACTCTTAACTTAGAGTACATCTTTCCATCATATTAGTCTTATGAAAAACTGTAGCTGACAATCCTCACAAAGGGACGTGCAAAGTATACAAAATTCAATAAAGAGTTTGCAAAAACAGCTCGACAACATTACCGCACATATAAACTACCAAGTTAGAAATGAAACTTCTCGGACTACCCCAAGGCCTCTTTCACAGCAACAACATCACGTTTCCAAGACCGAATCATCCTTCATACCCCAACTGCAAGCCATGTCACTCGCCGAAAATGATAGGATAAATCTGTCTGATCTACAGTTCCATGGGCCGTCGAGCTCCGAGTATGGCTTGAATATAGCGCAGGTGATGCTACGACGGAGTAAGCGGCCTGACATATCTATAACGGGAGTCGACCACCAGAATTGTTCTGGTATCGATGAAATGACAACGGTTACGGAGGAGCTGAGCAACAATGACTCGTGGGGAAGCGGCGATGTCTTCCACCAACCATTGGACACTCCATGCACTGTGCCAGTTCACAGATTGTTAAGCAAGGCAGACACATTTCGACTTTTACAGGTATATCAAGAAGTTATTGGAAATTTCTATCCGATACTAGACCTGCAATCTCTTGGCGAAGAAGCTGGGAGGCTACATGATTATGGAGGAATTGATCTAGGATTAAGGCGAGGCAATTCTTCGCACGTCGATAATGACAGCATGCTATTATTGAATCTGGTTTGTTCAATTGCTCTTACGGCTGAAACTACTGGAATATCTAAGATAGCCCAAGTATTCTACGAAAGTGCACAGAGCGCGATTCAGACAAACATAACGGCCCGGAAACTTCAGATACGAGATGTTGTACTGGTACTATTAGCGGTTTGTTGCAAATATTCATTGTCCATATTGGGCACTTATTCAAGGGTACATCTAACGTTAATAGAGCATCTACCACTACTTTAGTGATGATATTCGGTTGGCATGGCGACTGTGCGGTATCGCTGGTCGGATGGTCATAGAACTTGGCATTCACCGTTGGGAAATCTTCCACCAGCTTTTCAACGTCCCATCTCAACGTGATAAAGTTGCCAGCACTATATGGACTATTGTGGTGCTCGACCGACAATGGAGCTGTGCCCTTGGGATTCCACAAAACTTCCAAGAGTCAGACTTTGATAAGCGCCTGCCAGTCCCTGTTAGTACCGCTATGAATAATGAAGAACACATTTCTAACGCCTCATAGGAATGTGCGATCCATTTGAAAGCAATGCTCTCGTACGGGCTGTTAAGTCCAATGCATTGGGATCGTGTTCAGCGTAAGATAGCCGGCGCTATATGCAGTGATGAGGATTCCTTTCGATTCCTCACGTCAGAGGTAGAGCAATGGCGAGACAGCTCGTTAAACGGCATGAAATTTATTCATCCTAGAATCCAAGATGATCCGAATATCTCTTGGAAAACCCGCAGCGTCATTCCCACATTATTCCACTTGCGCGCAAATCAACTGCAGCACCTCTTATTTCGACAGCTGTTCATCTCGAATCCCAACCTTGCCATAAGCGCTTCATTCGCGGAACCATACCTCGAAACAGCCTACGATACAATAGAGATTCTCTGCGATATTAACGAATCTTCAGATTTATATAGGAAACAGCTTCCCGTATTCCGACACTTTCTAGCCTCCTCTATCTCTGTAATATGCATGATCACCACGCATAAAACCCAAATCGAGACGATATCGTCATCTGACGTGCGGCAACAGTTCCTATCAAACAAGACAAGCGACATAATTACAAGAGCAGTGCAGCTTGCAACAGCTTATGCAGATTCGTCAGGCATCTCACGACAGCTGTGGGAGCGGCTTGTGTCTATCGTGGAATCTCTATGGCAACATAAAATTATCCCGGATGGACGACTTGATCAGATGACTTCGTCTTCTTCAATCATTGACTTCAATGTGGTGGACACTGGTATTCCAAGCTATTATAGCCAAATATCTAATACATCATGAAATAGATCAATGATTGTACCTGAAACAACTAGTGTATACTACTGTTATATCTAGCTAACTAGCATAGGTACTATACCAGTAAGTAGTATAGATAATAAAAACCTCGGATACGATAGAACTCCCAACTGTGTATCGTTCACAAGCATAGATCCCCCAGCCGTGCTTTGATCCTTGGCATCAGCTATGGAAAGCAGTAATATGGTGAGGCTAAAAAGATACACAAGCACAATAGGCTTTAGGAGCCATGATAGTTTTGTCCGGATCGGCGATTGAGCCAGCGTAAGCCAGAGGGCTCGACCAGAGATAGCGAAGATTAGGCTCGTACCCATCATATATGCTGTAGCCTTAAAGGCGAAAGACACTTCCCGATCATAGCTTAGTCTGGCTGAAAAGTATGCCCAACTAGACAGGAACAGCTGGCATCCGGCAAAAATTGTTGTAGAGCCTACAGATTTATCCATGGCGTCGTATCTCAGGCGGTCGACCACAAGCCGAATAGCTGCATTCACAGCCATTGCAGTACATCCCATCTCCGGCAAGCTCATGAGCCCGCAGTTGAGAGCGGTTACCAGTCCAAAGAACGCGATCATATTAAGCACCGACGTTAAGATTTGCACAGAGGGAATCTTATCCACACGATTCTGGTCAAGTCTGGCACCGCAACAGCCGCCAAAGTAGCACCCGACACGCCCAATGGCTTCACCAAGCAACAGCGCCAGGGCCATAGAAGGAAGCAACACGTCTCGAGCAACGGTTGGTGCAATATGATGGATCTGCGAAACCCACAAAGCTGAGAACAGTATGCTTCCTTGAATAGATATGCCGTTCAAAGATATAGTATCCAGGAATGGCACGCCAAACATTTTGCAGAAACTGACCGTGCAGCTATCGGGGTCAAAGGTCCTAGCAAGTGAAGTACAAACAGAATCTGAGTTTGGAGACGTCCTTTGAGCGAGAGGATAAGAATCCAGCGCTTTCGATGCAGAACCATCGATTGCTAGCATCAGAGAATTAATGGCTTTGGCTCCGAATAATCCGGCCATGACGGTCCCAACGCCAGCTATAATTAAATCATGAGTCTCTATGCCCGATAGTAGCACATCGCGCTGTGAGCAATACACAGCCGCCGTAACCACCTGAGCCGCCATTATGGAAACGCTGAGCATCAGGCGGTACAGGGTTATCCGCGATCTCTGACCAATGCGAATATAACCGGGCCTGACCAAGACAAGCTGAACAACTCCTTGCATGGAGAGTTGCTTAAACGCTAGCCGTATCAACCAGACACAGTAGAAAACAACACTGGCAATGTAGTTCAGCTCACTGATTCTTTTCACTGGCATCAACACGGATAGAGTAACCATTATCGCGGGTAATGCCCGGACAATCAGGAGAGATAATGCGTTAATGACCGTAAGATGTGCGTACAGTCTCGAGTTTTTATGGGTTTTTCCTCTGAACTTGAACAACGCAACTGTATCCGACAAAATCTCTGTGATTAGACCGGCGTAGATCAAATACAGGGGCCGGCGGGGAAGGCTGTTGAAAAGAATGATGGCAAGAGAGCTAAGCGACAAGATATGGTGAACAAGGTACTCAGATGAGTAGCTCAAAAGTGGCAGCTCTGATATCCATAGCGCACCACGCGAGCTCAGACAAATCTTCTCCATTGCGGACATTCGGGAGTGAACTCCTGTCTGATCTGTGTCTGCCGGGGTGAACACGAAGGCTCCAAGGCAGATTGGAGCGCTCATTGTGGTCCATACGATGCCAACAATGAAGACAAAGTAGGCTGGAAATCGGCTCCCTTGATCTTGCTTCAGCTGACCGTATGTTGTTGGCATAAATCGCTTCATGGCGGTGCGCGCAATGAGGAGCGAGACTCTGTGTCCAGCTAGACAGACTAGCGCCAATCCTGCGTCGCGGACAGAGATTGCGTTTGCCAGCGAATACTGACTGGTCGTTTTGGCCTCCATTTTGCCTGTTCTAGTGATAAGCAACTTGGATATACACGTTATGAGAGTCGGCGTCAACTGTCGAAAAAGTCAGGTAGTTGAGCCTGTCCAAATATCGCTGTCATATCTCAAACATCTCATGGATCTGTTCAATAATGCAGTGAGAGATATAACATAGAGCGTATACCCTGCTACGACCTGATATAGCCTAAAATGTCAGCACTAAATCAACATTCGTATTGTACAAATGTACGTAGGAGAAGCCCTTATGGTCTTGGTATTGACTGGGGTCATTCCGTGCCCTGCTTCCGTGACGAGTTTCTCAGGCTTGAACTCATCTGAGTCCCCTATGCCTGTCAGTCAGCCCGACCCGTTTGGGGGCCCTTTTCATGTGGATCTGCCTGTACCAATGGTTCCCAACGAATGCTCGTTATCGTTCACCGATCCTTGGCTGGGAGGCCGGCGACATCAGAATTAGGGTATTTGATCGACCTGTGACGGTCCATAAAGTCTCCAGTATCGCCACCTTGCCGCACAAACTTTGTATGGCCGAGGCTCTGCACCAGGGCCGGGATGTGGCCCCTCTGAATCCTGGCCTGCGCGATCTGGGAGAAAGTCCATAGGCCGGGACTGAGGGGCTGCGACGTGGAAGGCTGGGCAGCTGAGATGCCCTAGTTTTACCAACGGCTCGACGGCATGCTCCACTCCAACGAAAGAGGGAGGGCATTCACGGATGGACGAGACAGGCATGGCATAATACTTTGGAGACCTGCGATAGACAGTGTAGGTTAAGATGTAGCTGATGAAAACAGTCACTGGGGCCTAAATAGTATGTGAACTGCAGAAAGTGCTCGTTGATGGATGCCCCGATGGTGCGCTACTTGTGCTCTTGCTGCTAGACCTTGGGACCTTTTTAGCGGCATGCTTATTCTGACCATCACCAAAAGCAGGATAGCCAATACCCTCAACCATGCGGGCCAATGACAGCTTCTGCTATGTCCTAACGAAGCTGGGCCGCCATAATGCTTTCCAATGATTGCAATATGCCGCCAGTATGATAAATCATATATATATACATAAAGAGGTCATATTTATAGAAGTGCATAATATATATGTATGTATGTATATCTCGTCAAATTTAGTATAAATGAGCGTAGCTTACGTGAGAGTTTCCCCTTTTGGGTTCTTGTTGCTCTAACGTTTGCTCGATATCCTAATATGCTTTTTGCTAACTCTATCTCTTAGTTAACAGCGACTGCATATGATCCTTTGACGTCTTGCTCAATCCTTAATGCGTCAATGATAGTATATGCATGGCTCCACCCATACATGTCTGTCCCTGCTAACTTCTTGGCCCATTTTTTGTTAGTAACCTCGTTACAATAATTGGAAAATGCATTCATAACAATCGAAAGTGCGGCATATGGGTTGTTGGGATTGGCAGCTAACGCCTCGGCTTGGAGAGCTGAGGCTGTGAGATTGTTGGTTCCGTTTGCCGTGGAAATTCCCAACAGATAGGCCTCGCGACAAGTCTTGTAGAGATCAGATACGTAACCGTAACTATCCTCAACGTCTTGTCGAGTGCCAGATAGGGTTAAGTGGCCAGCTACCAAATGCTCAAAATCGTACTCCAAGGCATACTTGTGTGCTAGCATATAGCCAGGAGTATCCTCAGTCTTCCCCAGGAAGAGATATGGGGACCATTTTGGAAATATGACTACCGAGTGCCTATTAGAAAGAGTCTCAAGGATTATACGCGGCGTAGGCAGTAATGTTACAGGGGTCACTCACTATCAATAAGTACCAACACTTTTTGTGCTGGGGCATATATATATGAGTTATCAGGAGAATGGTTAGGGCCTCTATTCTCGAGATGAAGCGTCTGATTGCCAACGGTTAACGTCATTTTGTCCGAAAATGTCTTATCAGGTAATAGGCGATAAGGGTCGTTAGCTAATGCGAGATATTCGTGAGTCAGTCGATGGCCGATTCGGGTGATGTTGCCGTACAGAAATGAGGCTCCATTGTGATCAGCGTGAGAATGACTATATACTTGGTGTGTAATAGGGAGGTGAGTGATGTTGCCAACTGCATATAGCAAGTTTCGTCCAATAGATGGCGGTGCATCAATCATGATGACGCCTTCCGTTGAAACCAAAGCCATTGCCTGATAATAATTGTTGGTAATCATGTAAGCTCCCTTGCCAAAGCTCTCAACACGATATCCATCGGTATTAAGAGGGAGCCCAATTGCAAAATCTGGAATCGGGTTGTATGTAGGATTCACCTCTCCCGGAGGTCCGATTACTTGAGGTGATGGACTTGAACATGCTAGCGCTGCTCGCAAAAGGCTCAAAACAAACAGCGGCTTTAGCATAATGTCAAGGTTCGCAAGTTAGAAAAGGGGATGATATAACGAATTCACTGGCTGTTGCTTCTGTTGTATACATATACATACATGTATATATATTGCTTGAGCAGTCTGAAACTGAATAAATATCTAGTACTAACATTATATACACTTCTTATATGATAGCTATTACGTTTCTATCCATACCCTACTGCTTTTCGCATATTCTGAAAGAGGTGTTTTGTCTGTGCATTGGGAAAGGTGGGTATTTTCCATACAAGGGACGGTAATTTCGGCCTACAGTAGCGGTATTAATAGCCCGACCCATTAGTTTTACCGAAGTAATCAAAAAGATACGTTATAATATTTCCTGTTCATGCTAGCGGCAGTTGTTTGTTTACAATACCAGCTGACATAGAATGCAGAATGTAAAATGCTTACCAAGTTACTAGCTAGTTGGGCAACGGTTCTGCTGCAAGCGCAAGAGCAGCTATAGTTTACAACTGACACATCCGATTGGAACTGGTTGTTCACCTTACACGTCTTACAGGCAAGGCGCACTGCTGCAAAATTGCTCTTCTCTCTTTTTAGCCTCTGGGGTCTAGGTAGGCATTAGGGTGGAGATGAAAATGCACAGCATCATGGTCCCAACCTGGTTATTGCAGCATCGGGTGAGGTTAGCCACAAGAAGGCCACAGCCAAATACTCCATACTACAGTATAAATGGATTGATGAATGGGACATACCGCCGGCGAAGAAGTGTAGTATGAGCTGTCGCCCTCTCGCATATTTTTCAGGGGAAACGGGCGACAACAGCCGCTGCTGATGGTTCCCGGCATTGCTGGAAGCAAAACAAGCGCCCGCTTCCGGCCTCGTCCAGTTCATAAGCTTACAACTATCACAATCAGTCCGATTTTATACATGCCATACTCGGCAATTGTCATTTGCATGGGGACGAGCGCTGAGATGGAAACTCGTAAGAAGGATCTCGCAGCTTACACTCCAGGAATGTATGAATTCAGGTTAGCTATGGAGTACAAAGCATTTTATCATACTATCCAACCACCGTATTATGCAAGGCTCAATGTTGCATACATATTGCTTGGCTCGATGTTTTTTTAATTATATTTTATATTACAACGTTTTAGAAAATATAACTTATTATGCTCTCCCTATATTACTCTTCGTTACCAAATATCATTACCTCATTATTAAAACCTAGGATAGATTCATAGCTCCACATATATTGCCACAAAGTTTTACAATATACTCTTAACGTTTGTTTCTTAACATTAGTTGGGTCGAGTGGGTTGAGTAATATACCTCGCACTTTATCGAATAGAGATTGACAAACTATTGATTGGTTTGGTATACCATCTCCATCGGAAACTGATGGATACTCTCCAGACTCGCCCGTCACGTCCTCATCCAGAATTGGGCACTCACCATCCTCGTTGATTCCGCTTTGCAGCCACTTATTATCAGCTAATGGGTTGCTCGATCCATATGAGAAATCGTACAGCTTGTAAAGCATCTCCAGGGTCTCCACCCATGCACTCGCGACGCGCCAGCGAGTCTGCCAGGATTTGATGATTTGCAGTAACTGATCAGCACTTTCTTTTGCAACATCTTTTGGGCATTTGCTACAGGTCTGGGTATATAGAATCCATAGCTGGATTGCCGAAGCCGTAATGGTGGCGTTTGCAGCGAAGGTCGATCGAAGCAAATCGCGATCCCGTTGGTCTCCATTATTGAGCTCCATAGCCATTGCTGTTATTGCTTGGGCACTTTCTATACAAGTATTGATGATGTGAGGTTCCTTATGATCAAGAGAGAGGCCCGCGTTGTCAAATTTTGTGACTGGATCGATTTCCAATGTGAGCGCATATTGAGAATCTAGTTGAGGTAGATACTCCTGATGCATAACACATTTTGAATGCAGCAGCAGAAAATTCAGGTTGATGAAAGCCTGGGCTTGCCCGGTGACCTGGTGTAGCTTATAATTTTGTATCGACCAGTTTAAAGTCGGTGGAAGAGTGGCGGCAAATAATTCCACAGCCTTTTCTTTCTGGTAAAATTGACCTGTAACATCAGTCGGAGTCTCTTTCCATTCCCTTCGACCACCAGATTTATATAGCATTGCCATATCTCCCCAAAGCTTCACCATTGCGACATAAAAGGGAAGGATTCCGAGTTGTGAAAGCTGGTGGCCGTACAGCACAATTGAGTCAAGGGTTGGTCCTGAATACGATTCCCCAAAAGCAAATGTGTTTGGGGGACAGGGAAGCTGGATGCGAACTGACATCATATCAATAGCAAAGAATCGGTTGCATGAATATGACACCAGCCGATCAACCACAAAGCAAGCCCAAAATGTCCTCCTTCGAATCTCCTTATGCTGATTGGTGTGACGTTGGTTGAACTCGGAACCAAGCTGTAATGCGTGAGCCATTCTTATGGCGGTGCCAGCATACATCCATGACTTGAAGCTTGTCCATGTCACGAGTTCTCGAATAGCCAAAACCAAATTCCCCTGGATGGTGTAAACTGATGATGAATAGCTGTTAGTAGACTTTTAGCAATTGCGGTGTTGATCAGGAGCATACCCGAGGGCTCATCAGAAGAATTGCGTGCTAGATTTCTAGCAACTTCGGCATAGTGATTCGACAGAGCAGATGCGGATTCAACCCCGAAGTCTTCTTTTGCCTCGTTGTCGGAGATGTACAAGGCGGAGAGAGTGATTATGGCAGTTACCAGCAGCTGGGATTTGCTGCTTAGTGCTGTAACATCTTGAGTTGGTTTATGGAGGAAAGAGCATAGTTCTACATCATGATGGCGGTCAAGAAAAATCTTGAACAGCCTCTCCAGCTGTGCAAGGCTCAAAAGAATATAGCTGCCTGAACTGTTCTCAAGTGGATTTTTGACCTGTAGAGTTTCATAAGTCCTGACAGGTGCGGGCTCAGAGCTTGATTCGGGGGAGTATAAGGCAGAATAGTTCCCTGCCACGAGAGATTTTGGCCATGTGCACCTTGACTTTCGTTTTAGGCAGCTTCTACACGTCGGTCGGGCACCATCACATTTGGTCTTTCGTTTTCTACTAACCGAATCCAACGGATGTCAGTCAGGTGCTATGTGGCGAGTGAACTATAGCCAGATTAATGGCTCCATTTTGTAAAACGTACCATACTTCACAAGCTTGGGGTGTACGGCTATCTGGAATACTTTTGGGACGCTGCATGTTTCAAGTTCTGGAAAGGAAACCGGATGCTGCAGCGAGCTCTGTGAGATGAGCGGACCAGCAAAAGGTAGAGGAAGATGGAAACATGTAACCAACCGAAGGTTAAACTGAGACGTAGAAGAAAGCCAGAGGATGAGCCAATTTGTCATAGGAGGTCTCGGGTCAGACATCGGAAGCTAACTTGTTGGAGCTAGCTGCCGAGTTTTTTCTTTTAGTACTAGTACTGGATACGGAGTACCAATAGCATGATCCAGGATAACTAACATCCCGCTATTTTATGTATTTACAAAGCAAGCAGCTCGATTTTGAGCCTGGAAGTCTGAAGTATAACTTTATTTGCTCTTAAGTTTCTTCTCCAGAGTAGTATAGTTAAGTTTGACCGACCTCAGGATAGGTTTTGGGTTGGTGTTCTTAAATTGTAAAAAAAAATCGCCTCTGTAATTGGGTCTCTTTTGCCTATTATGAATGCTAAGCCATACTGAAAGCCTCTTTCAACGCCTCCTCAAACTCGCGATTGTACTCCATTGCAGATTCCAGAATCCCATCCATCATCATAAAATGATGTGGCATGCCCTTGTATCTATGGGATTTGACTTTTATGCCCGCCTGCATGAGCTTTCTACCATATGCTTCGCCTTCGTCACGCAGAATATCCATCTCTGCAGTAATAATAAAGGCAGGGGCGAGATTGGCGAAATTCTGTGCGTTGATCGGAGATAATTTCCAATGCTAGAGAGTTTTTGTCAATTGTTAAACTCGGACATGTTATGAAGGAGTCTATACTCACATTTTCATACTCTAGAGGTCTTGGAGAGCTAAGGAATGTTCGATGAAGATACATCATACGTTCTGCTGGCAAGCCTACAGTATCAAACTGTTCTCTGTAAGACTCATAGGGGCAATCGGCCTTGATTTTCCCATCGCGTGTGAAGACGCCTGTAAGGTCCACGCATGGCACTGCTAGGACTTGTAATGAGAGAGGGTAGCCTGCGTCCCGAGCAAGATGCGCAATTACGGCCGCGATATGTCCGCCAGCAGAAACTCCGCCTATAGCTACACGGCTAACATCAAGATTAAACTCCCTCGCCTTTTCATCGTGTATCTACTAGAATAGTTAATTCTCTCAAGTTGAAGACGGGTTCATGATGTGGGGATTTACCCATTTGAAAGCCATCCAAGAGTCTTCAATTGGAGTTGGATATGGGTTTTCAGGAGCGAGACGGTAGTCAACATCGAAACATACGCACCCTATCCCCTTCGTCAGCCGTCGGCAGAATGGGTCATCATAATGGAGACCCCCAAAGGTCCATCCTCCTGCGTGATAATTGATGTAGACAGGACGCTTTGCTCCGCCCTCCTTCCATGGCTCGGGCTCAAATATCCTAATCGTGATCTTACCACCCTCTACAGCACACTTTTGTTCAGTGACACGAAAGACTTCAGGGCCTTCGGCGCGGCCATATGAGATAGTGTACTTTAAAGGGTTGTTCCGTGCTTCTTCGATAGGTTTGTTTGTTTATTTATTTTATTATTAACGTCTACTAAGTAAGCTAGTTATATAAGTCCTTATTTAGGTACTAGGACGGTAGGAGCTACTGAATTTAAATTAGGCGTTTACTATATTTTAATATAATAAAAGGAATAGGGAAGTATTAATTTATTTTATATATTTATTTTTATAAAGGGGGGGCTATATAAGCTTATCTTTTTTATTAATTTTTAAAAATCTTTATATCTTTTATTATTAAAAAGGTATTAAATATAAGTAATTTTAAAAAATTTTTTTTTTAATATATTAAAAAAAAGGGGGCTATTATATAATATTTTATAAAGTACCCTTATATCTTTAGCTTTTTATATTTATAAATAAACCTAGTATTATATTTAAATTTTTTATAATATTTTATAAAATCTTTATATTTAGATTTTTTAATTAATAGTTTATATAGAATTAAGTATAAAAAATATAGCTTTAAGGATATAAAAAGGGCTTTATAAAGGCTTTATTTACTAATTTTATATAACTTTAGGTAATTATTATTTTAATTATTATTTTATATTTTTTTATATTTTTTTTTTATTTATTTTTTAATAAAAGTAATAATAAAGTAATTTTTTAAGTAGTAAAAAAGTTTTAAACTTTTTTTTATTAATTAGTTAGCTTTTTTATTTTTTAATATATTTTTATAACCTAAGACTTAGGCTATTTTTATAATTATTTATAAAAGTAATCTTTAGGTAATTTAATATAGCCTTATATAAGCTTCTTAAGATAAAGTAAAAGTTAGCCTTAATATTTTATTTACTACTACTAAGTTATTTAAGAAAAGTAAAATCTTTTAAATATTTAAATTTATAAAAGTATATATTTTAATTAGCTTTATAATTTTAAAAGTATTTACTACTTTAGTATTATAAATTTTTATATTAGTAAAAAGGTTATATATTATAGTTTTTTTAAAATTATAATATATAATAATTCCTTAGTTAATATTATTTTATTTATTTTATAACTTATTTAAGTAAGTAAAAAAGGTAGACCTAAGAAGGCTATTAAATAATTTTAGGTATTTTTTTATTACTTTTAACTTTAGTAAACCTTTAAAGTCTAGGCTTACTTAAACTACTTTATTATTTTTAATAAATAAAAAAAGTTAAATTATTTTCTTTACTAAAGCTATAGTATATTATAATTAAGTAAGGAAAACCTTAGGGAGGAGTTTTTTATTAATATATTTATTAATTAAGTAATTCCTATTTAAACTTATAAAATAAGCTATTATATAAAGTTTAGTTTATATTACCTATACTAATACTAAAGGGACTTTTAATTTTTTATATATAATAAAAAAGTTAATTATTTTTTATATAAGGATAATTACTTTAGCTACTATTTTAAATAAAGGTTTTAAAATTATAATTAGTTTTATTAAGCTTATTCCTACTTATTTATTTAAGTTTATTATATTTTATTTACTTTTACTAAGTTAAAAAGCCTTTATTTTATATAAAGTTATAAAAGTAATATAAGCCTTAGTTACTATAGCTACTATATTTAGTAAAGATTTTTTTTATATTTTATTTAAAAATTTTAAGAAATTAACTACTTTAAAAGCTTTTTTTTTTATAATTTTAAAATATTTTTTAAAAAAAAGCTATAAATTTAGGTATATTTTTAATTATTAAACTAAATCCTAGGGGATTATAATTTTTCCTTTAAAATTTACTCCTTTATTATATACTTAAGTTCTAGTCCTATAGAAATATATAAGTTTAATCTTATTTAAGTTAAAAAAAACTATATTTTTATTACTTTAGTTTAAAGTATTTTTTAATTTTTATTAAAGCTTTTAAATAGTTTCTTTAGTATTAGCCTTTACTATTATAATATTAATATTATTTATATACCTAAAGTAAGTATTAAGGTTATTAAGCTTTAGGTTAGGGGAAAAATAAAGTATAAAAATAATAAAGAAAATAAAAAACCTTTATAAAGTTTTATATTTTAGCTTTATTTTTAAAAAAGTAGTCCTATAGTTATTTTAAATAAAGGCTTTATAATTACTTATAAAAAAGTTAACCTATTTTATAAAAAAGGGAGGCTACTTTTATTTCCTAAGTTTATATATTAGGTAGTTATATATAATAATATTAAATATATTAAAAATATTAAGTATAAAAAGGAAAATAATAAAACCCTAGGCTAAGGTAACTTTAATATTATATAGTAAGTAAGTAACTAAGTTTATTATAAACTTTTTTAAAAAAGCTTTAAAATATTATTTTAATAATATTTTATATTTTATTATTAAAAAAAAGACTTTTTTAATTAAAATTTTTTTAAAGCTTTTACTTATATAAAAAAGTAAAAAAATAGGTTTATAACCTTTATATATAGTATATACTTTTTTTAGTTTTTTAAATTTAAAAATAATAGTAATTTTTATATTTTAAAAAAAAAGTAGGTAATATTTTATTATTAAGTATTTATAAAAATAGTTAATTATATATTTATTAATAATAAGTTAAGTAAGTTATAAAAAAGTAACTAATATATTATTTATGCTAAGTATAGTATTTCCTAACTTTATTATAACTTTTTTAGCCTTTAGTTTTAATATTATTTAATTTTAGTAAATATTTTTATTAATAAAAATATCCTTTTTTTATAAATTTAAAATATCTTTTTTTATTATCTTTTACTTAAGAAGTTTATTTTTAAAAAAAGTTACTTTTTTTATAAAATTTAAAATATTTTTATCCCTATTTATTAAAAAAAGTAGTTAAAAATAATTTATTACCTTATATTACTTAATTACTAATTAAATATTCCTAGTAATACTAGCTTTTACTATAATCTTATTTTAATAAGCTTACTTACTATAGTATATAAAATTTTTAAAGGTTTTATAAATTCTTTTTTAAGTAAAAAAGCTATTTACTACTTTTTTATAAGTTTTATAAACTACTTTATATTTTTTTAATTACTATAGTATACTATAGCTATTTTAGTATTTAGTTTTACTAGCCCCTTTTATAACTTTTTTAAAAAAGTTTTATAAAGCCTTAGTATATTTATTAAAGTTAATTTTTAATAATATAATTAAGTTAACTATAAAGAGAGTTTATATAAAAAAGTATATAAGTTAACTAAAGTCTTTTTAGTATTTTAATAAAATATATTTTTTCCTTACCCCTAAGGTTATTTTAAAAAGCTTAAGTAGGTTTATAATTACTATATAGTAGTTTAACCTTATATTAAGGGAATATTTAACCTTAGTTAATATAAAGTAGTTTATAAAAATTAAGTTAATATATTTTCTTAAATATTAAGTAAGTATATTTATTAAAGCTAAAAAAAAATTATACTTTTTTACTTATTTTATAATTTTATTATCTACTAGGTTTATACCCCTGCTTAATTTTTAAAGTTAGTATAAGGTATTAAAATTACCTATAATAATTAAATAAAGGAGGGGAGAGCTTTATTTAGTAAAGGTTTTTATAGTTAAATTTACTAAAGCTTTTTAGTAAATATTAATAATAATATAATTATATACTTTTATTTAATATATATATTTATTTTTTAAACCTAAGGGAAAAAGTTATTTATTAAAGAGATTTAAAAAGATTTTAATAAATATAAAAACTAAGGGTTTAGTATTTTTTTAATTATTTAAAAAGTTATATACTTAATATTTAAGGTAATTTTTATTTTACTTTTTATTTAATACTTTATTTTATTAAATATAGGATTCTTAAATTAGTATAATATTATAATTACCTTTTTATATTAGTAATAAAGTAATATTTTAATATAAATTATTTTTTCTAATATTAGCTTAAAAGATTTTAAAGTTAATATTTCTTTAGTAGCTATAATAAAGCCTATTATTTATAAACTTATATTAAAAAGTTTATTAATTTTAAAGGGGGTATTAAATATATTTTTATTACCTTTAGCTTTTTCCTTTTTATTATTTAGGCTAATTATATAAACTACTAACCTAGTAAAAAAGGTTCTTTTATAAAAATTTTCCTTATTTAAGTTAACTTTAATAATAACTTTTTTAACTAAACCTTAAGGGGGGAAGGGTAAAGCTAAGCTAAAAATTAATAACCTTATACAGGGGCCTGTTTAAGTCTTTAAGTTAAATATTTTTTTAATATTAAGGACTAAAGTAGGGGTAGGTTTAGGTTTAAGTAGGTTAACTTTATTATATTTTAACTAACTTAATTTTTAAATTACCTAAAGTTAAGCTTTAATTATTTATACTTTTTTTTTATTTTTAATAATTAGTTTAGTAAAGTAGTTTAAAAAGTTTATTATATAAAAGCTATTATAATTAATATACTAAAGTAAGAATAAATAATTAGCTATAATATTATTATATTTAAAAAATAATATACTATATTTATAATACTTTTTAATCTTAATATAATTCTATAGGTTATAAAATCTAAAGTATTATAGGTATTAAATAACCTAGGGGAGCTAAACCTAAATTTCTACTAAAAAAAAGCTACTAAAAAGTTTAAAGCTAGATTTAATATTTTTATTAAAAAAGATAAAGTAATTATATATATTAAAGAATTTTTTAAAGTTAGCTTTATAATAAAAAATAAGTAAGCTTTTAACTCTTACCTTAGTATATACCTCTTTTAGGATTAGTATATTTATAAAGTAAGTCTTACTTATATTAGTATATATTTTTAATATATTATATATAAGAAAAACCTTTTATAAATATATTTTTTTAATTTTTAAACTATTATTTTCTACTACTAGCTAAAGTATAATAATTTTATTTTTAATATTTTAATTTTTACCTTTAAAGGTAAAGCTTAATTAGACTTTTTAAAAGTAAGTAATATCTTTATTTATAAACTTTAAAATTTTAATTAGTTTTTATTTAACTTTAATAATTAATAGCTTTTTTTATATATAATTTAAAAAGCCTTAAATAAAAATATAATTATTAAAGCTTTCCTTAGGTTTATTAGTTTTATTTATATTTTTTTTATTAATAATAAAAACTAACCTTCTACTACCTATAGAAAAATACTTTAGGTTATTAATTCCTTTCTAAAGGTTTTTATTATAAGTATTTTTTATAATATAATTTATACTTATATAACCCTAAGGTTTTTCTAACTTATTTTTTTAATAAATATAAAAACTTTTATTATAGTAAAAGTTTTAGTAATATTTAATTTATCCTTTTTATTATAAAATATATTAGCTAATATTATTTTAGTTAATTAAACAGCTTTTTTTTTTACTACTTAATTTCTTAAGGTTTTTAAGCCTTCCCTTAGGGTTAATATAGAAGGTAATAAAGTTTTTAAAAATAATATTTAAGTATAAGTAGACTTATTTTACTACTACTAAGGAAAATTAAAAAATATATTATATTAAGTAAAAGTTAATAACTATAGCTATATTTAATACTATATTTTATTTAACCTACTATTATATATTAATTTTATTAATTTAATTTATAATTTTATTTTTAATAAAAAATTTCCCTTTTTTATTTAAGTTAATAGCTTTTTTTATATTATTAAAAATAAAAATAATAAAGCTTTTTAAAATTATTTATACTATAATTACTATTACTACTATATTTAATTTTACTTTATTAAAACTAAGTAAAAGTATTTTATTTATACTATAGGCTTTTTTAAAGTATTTTTTTTTTTAAAAATAAAAAAAAAGATTATAACCTTTTTTATTTTTAAGCCTAAGGGGGTTACCTCTTTTAGTAATTAAAAAGCTATTATTAATCTAAGGGTAATAGGTTTTATTTTATTTTAATTATTTAAAAAGTTTATAAATATTTCTATCTCTCCAAAGTCCTTAGATAGGACTATAAATAAAAAAATTATAGTTATTTTATCTAATAGCTAGTTAAACAGGTAAGAGTTTTTAGTGGTTAGGTACCCAAAAGGTAGGGTACCTGTAGATGTAGGAGGGAAGCTTGCTTCTTCAATAGGTATTTAATACGTCTGTGGGCGGCTAACGTTGTATTCATTATAGTACTCCACAAACACGGGATCGTAGCGTGAAAGGAGATTGTCGGGAATGCTGTTTAATAATGGTTGATAGATTTCCGGCTGTGATTTGGTTGTAGCCATGATGCAGAAGCTGATAAAGTTTCACGCTGGTATCCTTAAGTCTGACGTTCCTCGACATGAGTATACAGTCTCTATATATATTAGATTTAGTGAATCTAGCGTGGTTTTAAGCTATACACAGAACGTAGACAGTATCTCCTTCTAAGGTATTTCAACATGGGACCTTACGGGACAGGTCTCGGGAAAGCCGTGCCCAGAGTCGGAATAGCCGTGGCAAGATAAAGCAATCATCCAACTCGTTAGCTCCAGTCCCGCTAGTAAAATTGTGAACGTAATGAGCTTAAAGGAATAAGTACTCCGTATATGTCAGGGTATTTATGGAAAGGAAGTATGTGACATGGGTAAGAAACTTTATTCTTAGGTGTTTTTTTTTTTTTTTTTTTTTTTTTTTTTTTTTTTTTTTTGATTTTTATTGTTTTGGGGAAGGGAGGGGAAGGTGGGTTCCACATACGTTTTCTACTTGTCGACCCTAATCTACTCTGAACGTTGCCACAGTGTTCTATCTTTGTTTAGATTATGTATACAAAGAGTGGAATAGTTAGTTTCTCAAGTTAGACTGTAATCTCTTCCAAAGCTATGGTAGCCAATTGTTCCTAGATCACAAATATTCAGAGCTGTTCTTTTAAAGCCCTTTTAAAATCCTTCAGGAACACCCATCTTCCAGCTTTGACCCAACCCTTTTCAACAAAGCCATCAACATATTTCGGGAAAAAGTCCAGCACGTCCAGCAGCGATGCATCATGCGCCATGACAACCAATATCTTGTCATTTGCATCAAATTCCTGGATTTTCCTAATTGTCTCCACCGCTTGATTTGCATCGGTTGCAACGCCGTTTCCGTCTGTGGAACTAGAAACAGTAAAAAAAGGCTTGTTCTTATCACCATCTGGCAACAAATGATCGAAGAGGGCTCCAGGATATACAAGGGCGCTCTGGTTCTCAAAGGGGTTTGGCAACAGAACGGAGGGTAGACCCAGATATCTCGATGGCCTGAATTGTCCTCCGTGATGGCATGCATCTCCGCCCATGAAGACAAAGCTATCAGATGTCACCCGGGCAAGAGCACTAATGTGTCCTATAGCATGCCCCGGGCTATCCACCAAAAAGAAGCTACCATCGCCGAAATAGTCAAAAGCGTTGAAACCTCCCAGCTGCAGTCCATTGGCCGTATCAAATGAAATCTCGCGTAGTACCCTACCCTCAAAATCGGACTCAAGTAGCGGCGAATCTGGGTTTGTTGGATATGCCGGTATAAAATTCTGTTTGAATCCAGGGCCTACAACAAGTGTAGTACGCTTATCGAATGTTGACATATCGCCGATGTGGTCCCAGTGCCAATGGCTCCAAATGACTGCGTCAATATCTTTCCCGTCAATTCCATGTTCTTCTAGTTGCTCTCGAACTCCTTTTTGCACTTCGACCTTCCATCCGCCATCCCTGATCCTGTTGCTCACAGGCGGCGGCAAGTTCATATAATCTTTTCGAGCACCGAGATCGAAAAGCAGTTTGCCATTTGAAGGGTGCTCGATTAAGAATGAGTAGGCTGGACAATTGAGGTGTTCCAGACCTTGGAAGATCGGAGACATGAAGAGCTCCGAAGGAATATCTCCGACGCGAGTGGTAGTGTCAATGATACGGATTTTGACGGATACCGAGGAGAAAGGAATTTCGAGGTCTGGTAGCTGGTCCATTTTGAAGGGTCTTGAATAAACTCTAGTATCGTATGGAAAAGGGAAGATGAGAGATGGCTGTGTTGCCTGAATGGATGGGCCGTACATAAGCAGTATAAATATCTTTCGAATTAGCTGCCCGCCCCATGGGATGGTAATATGAGCTCAAATATTATGGAGAGATAGCTATGATTGATAGATTCTAAATTATTAATCCGGGTGGGAATCATAACCGCATTACTTGGTTCCGATACCATTTCGGCACATCCGACGCCCGCGGAAGACAATGTAATTGTGAATACAAGGGTTTATACCGGAAAAGCCGCCCCAAGAGATTTTTTTCGGAGGGACAACTCATGTGGTAATTGTCTCAAACTAAGCTAAGAGTCATTAAGGTATTCGGCCAACATTCTAGGCATGTGGGTAAATATGATGATTGGCAATATATGAAGGCGAGGCAGATGTATATCTTAGTAGTTCGGTTAATAAGCGTTTCGCGATGCTTTTCTTTGTAATGTACGTAAGGATGGTTCGGATAACCCGTCAGCAGATAAATTAGGTGCTCATTATTGAATGTAAAATTTGCACTTATAAAGCGTAAAACAATTGCAGCGTCCTTTCGACTCTGATCAATAAAGCCGTTTTCTTTATAAATTTATAAATTATTGATACTGCCAGCATGGTTCAAAAAGAAGCTGTCCTAACCGATAAGGCACCACTACCTCTGCCTATCTTCTCACAGGCAATCAAATGTGGACCTATGGTTTATTGCTCTGGAAGCGTTGGCATGAATCCAAGTACCAATACGTTGATCGAAGGTGAAGTTGGAGCTCGTGCTGAACAATGTCTGAAGAACTTGAGCATCATCCTAGAGGAAGCCGGAAGTAGCCCTGACAAGGTTGTTAAAGTCAATATTTTCCTGACCAACATGGAGAGCTTTGCGCCAGTGAACATGGTCTATGAAAAGTACTTTAATAAGGAACCAAAGCCTGTACGATTCCATACTATTTCTCAAGGTTTTTGTTATGGAATGTGTGTTGATTCAACTACAGTGCCGCACTTGCGTAGCTGTGTTTCAGTTGCCGCTAAGCACCGATGTTGAGATCGAATGCGTAGCGCATTTGTGAGGTATATTCATCGCTTTAAAAAGAGAAGAATCCGTGACTAATATTTATATAGATAATTCATTGTATGGCATCCGATTACCGAATCAACCCATGTGGACTTTGACTGTGAAGCCCGAGGACATACGCGCTGAGATTTTGGGGCAATGGAGGGCTGGACTTGTGCTGACCAACGGTGTATCGTGAAGATCAACGACGAGAAAGGGCGGCGGATAACGGGGAATAGCTGCACTGAAAAGGGTGGGATCGTATGTAGTTCGGAAAAGTCCAAAGTATAATAATAGGCTTACTTGATGTTGGATGTATCGCAGGTCCTGAATGCTAACTTATTGTTAAACATTGGGCTGAGCTATTTTACGCTATCCGTTCGGCCATACTCTGCTGCCTAACGCAGCGGGGGAACAGCATCTCCTACAATCCCATTTCAACAAAGATTTTGGATTTATTTTGTCTTACGAGATTACATTCCCCACACATTTACGCCCATGTCCCAACCAGCAATATCCAGGTCAACAGTATTTCCCAAGTGGACGCCTGAGACTCTCGACATCCACCACATCGACATCGGGAGCGGCAATGCTACTCTGATCGTTGGACCCGATGGGACAACTATTTTGATTGACTGTGGGACTTCTAAGGATGCTTCCGTGGGACAGGACGACTCGCACCGGCCCGGCGAGCTGGTGGCGGCCTATGCTTTGCGCAACAGCCCCAGCACGACGCTCGAGTATCTTGTCGCCACTCATGTACACCCGGACCACGTCGGCGATGTTCATTCTGACAAAACAGCGATGGGTAGCGGCTTCCAAAGGACTGGGCTCAGCGACGTTGATCATCACATGCCGGCGAAGCTAGTAATTGATCGTGCCTATCCCAATTACGGCTTGCGGCCACCACTTTCAGCCCCATTCACCGACAACTATTTGGCTTGGCTCGATGCTAGGCGACAGGAAGGGCGTGAAGTCTCCCGCATTGATGTTGGTTCGAAGAGTCAGATCAAGCTGCGGTCGCCTGAAGACTACCCGACGTTCTCCATTCGGACGCTCGCCGCAAATGGGTTGGTGTGGACCGGCAATGGGCAAGAGAGCCGCTCGCTTTTCCCGGATCTCGGCACACTGCCACCAGAGGCGCTGCCTGAAGAGAACAAGTGTTCAATAGCATTCCTCTTGTCGTATGGTCTCTTCCGTTACTATACTGGTGGCGATCTCACCTGCGACACTTATGATGGCCGTTATCCCTGGATGGACATCGAAACACCCGTGGCCAAGGCCGCAGGCAAAGTCGATGTCGCCGTTGCTAATCACCATGGCTACTTTGATGCCTGCGGACCTGACTTCGTTACTATGCTTGATGCCACAACTTATATAATTCCCGCCTGGCATGTCACTCATCCGGGAATGGCCCAGCTCCAGCGTATGCTTGGGGCTTGGCCGGGCGTGGCGAGACGCAACGTCTTTGCCACCAGGATGTTACCGGAGAATCGTCTTCTCAACAACCGCTTCACTTCCGAGATGTGCAGTCAGCAGGGTCATGTGGTAGTTCGCGTGGCACCGGGCGGGGGCAGTTATAAAATTTTCGTACTTGACAGCAATGACGAACAGGACTTTGTGACTGCTGAATTTGGCCCTTATCTGTGTAACTAAAGTATTGGAACACTCTTTTATTGATCTCTTGATAAGGCTTACCGGGCAAAAAACTGAACAAGCTATCCTATTACCTTAACACCGCGCTGAGAGAACTCTATCAGACTAACTAAATCACAATGCCTGGTGTTAATACATCCGGTTATCCATAATGTTAACATGCTTATGTACCTGATGTCAGGATATGGGGATGAAAAGACAGCTGTTCAATCTCTCGCTTAGCTTCAACCAACCGTTATTTACTCTATTATAGTACAGAATAAGAAGAGTCGGAGTTGGACTAAAACGTATCGTCCGTCATAACATAATGGTCTAGCAAAGCTTTAGTATCTAACTATGAGGAAACACTCGTCTTTTATACCAAAGAGCGTTGTTGAACCAATCGTGGCTATAAATTGAACACGGGGCCAGTCAGATCTGCCCATCAAAGTGGCAGCTGTTTCCTTATTGCTATGATTAGTTATCAGTCGGTGGCCCAACATACTTGCATATAACCTCCTCTTCCCCAGTAGAGCACTGCGACAAAACAGTACTAGTTCTCGTATCGAACAGCTCAATCAATTCGCCGCCCTCTGGAGTGACTCTGCCCGCCGATCCCTGCGCTGACGCGTTTCGGATAGTGATAGTGCCATAGTCGGGAGACGCCACGATGCCGGTATCATTGCCTCCAGAGTTGTTGTAGTCCTCGACAATCCACTCAACACTTTTCTGACACAGCGGTGCGTCTGATGGTGCGTCAGTGCTGTTAAAAGTGTGCGACACAGTCTGCCCAGTGCTGAGGTTGTCTAAGATAGCGGAGCCATTGAAAGGTCCATAGGCGTAGATAGTCAGTCTGATATCGTCGCCCTCGCCGACTTCGAAGCTCTCAAAAACCGGCGCGCTTAGAGGAACCCACTCAAACCAGCCGAACGCTGTGCCATTGCCGGTGAGCCTGACACCTGTCTGTAATGGACCGCCTCCAGGACATTCCGTGGAACCGTCGATTCCAACCCAAATAGAAGGACCAAAGCTTTTGTCGCCCTTTGGGACTGTGAACGTGCCAGTCACTGAGGTAAATCCACTCCCGCTCTGCTTAACACCGGACCATACGCGGTCCAGAGTTTGTGGGGGGTTTGCGTCAGTCGATTGTGGGGGGGAGAGGGCTGACGCCAGGGTAGCCGTCGCAATAGTGAGGGCGATGAGCTTCATAGTGAGATGAAGGTTTTGCTGTTGACAAATTATAAATTAGGCAGTTCAGCGGTATACGTCGTGCTGTTGTTCAGAAAGAAGGAATGTGCCTGTGTTATATAGACCTCGTCAGATATTATCCATAGCTCACCGTCAAATACGCAAACGTCAGCTGCTCTTACGGCAATTGATCGACGGTCGGCAGTATAATGAGACGTTTATGCGGTATTCGCAATCTGCCCCTATGTATCAACGGCAGTCGGCAGTAAAATACGACGTTTTTGCGAATTCGCAACCCACCTTGTGTATTATCAACGTTACTTCATAATTCTCAACCACTAAGAAACCCTTAGACAATCCTTTTACTTATAATAAAAAGCCACAAAGACTTGTAGTTCATTTTATCCTAGAGTAAGTCAACGACAAGTGATGACCATGAAGCCATTTGATCCGTTTTTTTCATCTCCTGAATTGATGCGGCCATAATATCCAAAGATTTTTGTATATCCCCTTCATCAAGAAACCCCTTTCTAATCGAACCTAGGAGAGGCGACATCTGGGTACAATAGAACACAAGCAGTATACCAAGGAAGTTTTGACTCCAGTAGAACAGATATGGCAATAAGAGTTTTTGTTTCCCAGGAGCCACGATTAATAAGGGCCAATTTAGGCAGCTCTACCACTTTTCTTAGCAAGATAAAGAATCAGCAAATCCAGCGCGTTACAAACCTTTAAACAACAGCTGACACCATACACGTCGTCGGTCGTTATGTTCTTAGGGAAGTGCAAAACTTTATACATGAGAGGACGATAAATCATGTACTGAGCATAGTAATATCGGGTTCGAAGTAGCGCAGTTTGCACGTCGCGGACGTATTTGCGACGAGCGGCTTCTTCGCTTTTGTCACTGATATCTGACCCAAACAAAAGCTCACCGTCTACTAGTGCACTTCGAGCATCATCCCACTGTAATGCTGGCGGTAGTATAGACTTCCATCTTTCTAGTTGGTTCGCGTGGTATTGTACAACAGATGATATAGCTTTTGGATTGGCGGAATGGCTAGTCTCTGTGTCTGGTTAGCATTGGCCTAATGATGATTGGCTCTGGCCTATGACTCTTCTCACCATGATTCATCGCCTCGTGGAATGCGCGACAAATACGCCGTAGCGCAATGAGAGCGGCGTAATGCTGTTCAAAATTCGAAACGTGGTCCAATTGTTGACCTAGATAACAGAAAGACCCTGAAAAGGTGGGAAGCGGTACTATCTGCTTCAAGTCCATGAGAGATGAGTAGGGGAGGTTGAGTTCAAGATGGTTACCACTATCAGGATTAGAGGATTTTCCTTTTAATTGTTTTCCAAAGGGAGGCAAGCTTCCCTCCTACATCTACAGGTACCCTACCTTTTAAGTACTTAACTACTATAAACCCTTACTCTATTTAACTAACTATTAAATAAAATAACTATAATTTTTTTATTTACAGTTTTATCTACAGACTTTAAAAAAATAAAAATATTTATAAACCCTTTAAATAACTAAAATAAAATAAAACCTATTACCCTTAGATTAATAATAGCCTTTTAACTTTTAAAAAAAGTAACTCCCTTAGGCCTAAAAATAAAAAAGGTTATAATCTTTTTTTTTACTTTTAAAAAAAAAATACTTTAAAGAAACCCTTAATATAAATAAAATACCTTTACTTAATTTTAATAAAGTAAAATTAAGTATAGTAGTAATAGTAATTATAATATAAATAACTTTAAAAGACTTTATTACTTTTATTTTTAATAATATAAAGGAAATTACTAACTTAAATAAAAAAAAGAATTTTTTTACTAAATGTAAAATTATAAACTAAATTAATAAAATTAATATATAATAGTAAGCTAAATAAAATATAATATTAAATATAACTATAATTATTAACTTTTATTTAGTATAATATACTTTTTAGCTTTTTTTAATAGTAGTAGAATAAGTTTACTTATATTTAAATACTATTTTTAAAAACTTTATTACCTTTTATATTAACTTTAAAAGGAGGTTTAAAAACCTTAAAAAATTAAGTAGTATAAAAAAGCTACTTAATTAACTAAAATAATATTAGCTAATATATTTTATAATAAAAAAGATAAATTAAATACTACTAAAACCTTTATTATAATAAAAGCTTTTATATTTACTAAAAAAGTAAATTAAAAAAACCCTAAGGTTATATAAGTATAAATTATATTATAAAAAAATATTTATGTAATAAACCAGGTCCTATAGGTTAGCTGTTTCCAAGGGACAAACCTTAGAGTAGTTCTATAATTTATATTAGTAAAGCAATCAGGTCAGTAATAGGTAATCTTATTACTAGCTAGTAATATAAATAAAAATAGATATCTATATTCTAATCTAATTATATTATAAATACTATAATAACAACTAGCTATCTAAGTATTTTAATAAATAATATAAAGTAAACTTATATATCTAGTTAACCTAGATAAGATTAATATATAGAATATTAATCCTTCCCTAGATTAATAAATAGTTTATTAATCTGCTATTAAATTAAGAAGTTATATCTTAATCCTTTTTTAATTAATTAAAGGATTAAAGTTAATCTAGTCTAGGCTAACCTATTAACCTATTATTATAACCTTAAGAGTTAGGTTATAATATAATATCCCCCTTTTATTAATTTTATCTTTAAGACCTTACTATATTTAATATAAGTAGCTACTTCCCCCTCTATTTTTATTAATATTTTTATTTTTCCCTTATATTTATATATTTTTATTAATTATTATATTAGGTATTTATAAAAAATCTTATCCTAAGATAACATATTATAATATTCTTTTAAAAATTATCTTATTTTATCCTATTAAAATAAAAAACTATATATATTATTTTAATAAAAAAAAGTAAAGCTTTTTAAAGTATTAAATATTTAAAAAAGATTCTACTTACTATATTAAATATATAAAAAATAATAAATCCTTATATAATATATATTTATTATTATTAACTTAGTTTTAAAAAATTACTTTATTTTATACTTAGTATAAAAATATTTTTAAAAAGGCTAAAGAAGAGTATAAAATAGTTAATGTAAAGATTAAACGTCTTTGTAAACAGAAACGTCTATAATTAAAGAAGATAACTTATATAATTATATAAGGTATTAATAATTTAAAGAAATTAAATAAGGTTAAACGTAAGAAAGCGGAGGCCGCTTACTAAGCTACTATAGTATAGTTAGCAGAAGGTTTTTCTAAAGTTATCCCTACTTCTTTAAAATTAGTAAATTATTTAAAAATATTAATAATAAATCTTAAGCTAGTATAATCCCTAGGCTTTAATAAAGTTTTTCCACTAGCGTTATTAAGTTCTTAAAATACTTAATAAGTTTTTATATTTCTTTTTTTTCTTTCCCTTTTTTTTATTATACCTTATAGTATTATTTACTATCTTCTCCTATTTTTATTATATTAATATCTTTTACCTTATATTCTTCTTCTTCTCCCTTAACAATAATTTTATTTTAAATAAATCTTTTAATTTTTTTATTAATTTATACTTTTTTTAATAAAAAAATATAAAATATTAAGTATATATATTTTCTTTATTTTTTTTATTATTTTAAAAGTTTAAGTTTATAATTTACTTTTTTAATTTTTCTTAAAATCTTATAAAGTCTAAGTTTCTTAAAATTAAGTTTATTACTTAGCCTATTTATTTTAATATTTACTTACTTATTTCCTTATATATATTAGTAAAGCTAGACTATATTTTCTTCTTAAAGAGTTAGTTCTTTAATTTTATTTTTATTTATGTATTTAATTATCTTTTATTAAATAAATTTAAGTTATTATTATAGTTTATTATATAATTTAATTATATCTTCTACCTTAATTATAACTTTTTTAATATTTTCCCCTTACTTTAGTAGTTAATAGGCTTTAGGTTTAAATCTATAGTTTAAGAAAAATAGTAATTTCTTAGTTAATTTTAATTCTGTATTATTATATATAAATTATATAATAAGGAGTAGTTTTACTTAGTTATTTTACTTAAAATTAATATAATAGTGTAAATAAGTTTTAATTATTTAGTTAATTTTGTTTATTTATTTATTTATCTATAGGTAGTAGGCTATATTAGCCTTATAGTTTATTCCTAATTTAGCTATAAATACTTTTTAAAACTTAAATATAAATATATTTTTTTTATTAAAGATTATATCTCTTAGTAGTTTATAGTTACTTATAATATATTTTATTATTATATAAGCTAATTCTTTTACGTCGCTAGCTTCCTTAAATAATATAAAGTAGGCTATTTTTATAAATCTATTAACTATTATAAAAATACTATTATAAAATATCCTTATAACTAGTTCTTTTAAAAAAGGTAGCTTAATAATTAAGTTAAATAAAATCAATTTCTATAGTCTTTATAATATAAGTAATAGTTATAATTATCTATATAACTTATATTTAAAACTTTTAGCTTATTTATATATTATATATTTTAATATAATTTTTTATACCTATATCTTAATACTTTTAAATTTAAAGTATTATTTAACTTATTATATAGTTTTCCTAACTCTATAGTATTTATTAAGCTTATATACGTAGACTAATTTTACTACTTTATTTTATAAGTCTTCTAATACCTAGATAAGTTTATTTAATATTAAATATCTAATATTTATAAAAATACCTTCTAAGTATTATTTATTTTCCTAGTTCTTTACGTATTCCTTTATATTATTAATAATTAAATTATCTATCTTAATTTAGTATAAAGTATTAATTAATTAAATAACTAGGTCTTTATATTAGTTTTTCTTTAGTATTTATACCTTAACTTCTAGGATTTCTTAAAAGTAGTTTAGGTATTTATTAAGTATATTAGTATATTTATTATTTAATCTACTATAATATTTAATAATAAGCTTAAATTTAAAAAATTATTTATAATACTTAATTTATTTATAAAATAATTTTTATATTATTATAAAGTAAGTAATATTTTAGTAATTTATAAAGATTATTATTAAAAATTAACTTCCTTTATAATAGTATTTTTAATATTATTTACTAAGTACTTAGTATATAATTATAAACTCTTTATTATAAATAAAATATTTAAGTTTTAGTTTATATAGTTTCTTAGAGAAGTAGGTAATAGGCTTAAGTTTCCCTTTTTTATTTAATTAGCTAAGTACTTTTTTAATTATATAGTCTAAGATATTAGTTTTAATTATAATAGGTTTATTTAAGTTAAATATTATAAGTACTAATATACTAGTAAAGGCTTATTTAAGGTATTTAAAAGTTATTAAAGTATTTTATATAAGTTTAAATTTAATATTTTTCTTTATTAAGTTTATAAATAATATAATAATTTTTAAAAAATCTTTAATAAAATATTAGTAGTAATTAATAAATCCTAAAAAGCTTTATACTTACTTAATGTTTTATAATAGTTCCTAATTATTAATTACCTTAAGTTTTTTAAGGTTTATTTAAACTTTACCTAAGGTAATAATATATTTTAAAAATATAACCTTTTATATATAAAAGTTATATTTCTTAGGTTTTACTAGGAGTTTATTACCTTAAAGTATTTATAATACCTTTTTAATATATTCCTTATATTCTTTTAAGTTTTTAAAATAAATAAAAATATTATTAAGGTATATAATAATAAAATAATCTATATAATCTTATAATATATAATTAATTATTTTCTAAAAAAATACTAAGGTATTTATAAATTTAAAAGGTATTACCTAGTATTTATAAAGTTTATATTTTATATAAAAGGCGGTTTTTTATTTATTACCTTTCTTAATTTAAATAAGGTTATATACTCCTTTAAGATTTAATAAAGTAAAGATCTTAGCTCCTATAAGCTAGTTTTTAATTTCCGAAATTAATAATAATAATATAATATTTTTCTTACTTATTATATTTAATTATTAGTAATTTATAATAAGTTAAAGTTTACTATTCTTTTTAAATATAAATATAATTAAATATTCTACTAAGGATTTAAAANGTTTAATATAGCCTTTCTTTAGCTAGTCCTTAATTTATTTATTAAGTATTTTAAACTTAGTAATACTAAGGTTATAGATTTTATTAAACATTAGTACTTTATTATTTATAAGTTTAATCTTATAATCCTATTAGCTATATTTTAATAATCTAGTATTTAGTTCTTTATTAAAAACTAATATATACTAAAGGTCTATTAGTATATTTTTTAAATATTCTAATAT